GTTAAGTGACAGAGCTAGCTCTTTATCGTCAGTTTGTATATCTGGATGCTTGTTGTAACATGTATTTTCGGCAACGATGCAATACCACGAAGACATTAGAAATACGATCATGAAAATGCAACTAGCTCACGTTTTTTAGTAATTAATCGTGTCGTATGTCTTAGCATTAGCCAGTTCTCTACAGGTTAAGTTTTTTTTATAACGTTTTTCTTCCTGTTCCTTCCGTGTGAAAAATTCAAGTTACACTCAAACGAATATTCTCGACCGATAATCAAACGAACCAATAATCAAACGAAAACTGCCCAGATTTAAAGCTGATGGATCTTTACAGTCGCAAATAAATAAATTAATGCTCAACAATTATTTTTATATGCCTAGAATCATTCCAGAACCTTGAAGTAAGATGACAAAAATATAATTGTGGCTGATTGAAATATTAAAGAACCTTTGAATCTATATTTTTTGACACAATTATTCTATTAAGCAAGCGCTACTTTTTCTTATCAAATTGTAGTTTAATCCGCTTTTCCCTTCAGATAGCTAGCTAAAGAAAACCTCTTACAAAAATAACTCAGAAAGAAGAATGATCAAAAGGAATAAAATTGTATATTTCGTTTCAAATTTAAAGAATGAACGAAACCCAAAATGTACTTTGGAATATGACAGATTACCATTATGTAGCTTTTTATATTGTTTTCGGCCGTATTTTTGGATCAGAAGGAGTTAAGGCATAGTTGTTGTTTTTTGTCTTGTAATCCTAGTGTTTACTTGGTGAAGACGTTGCTTGACCAAAGTAAAAACTGAGAGGAAAGAAGGATATCTATAAGAGAAATTGCCAACACTAATTCAGACCTTATATTTTACAACGATAATTTGAATACATTTTGGTGGCATTCCTTCATAACTGTTTGCATTTTTGAATCATGACAAGTTGCTCAAAGGATGAAAATATCCAAGGATCGTATCCATGCAATATTATGACACCTTTATGACTTTTTCAATAACTTGTGGAATATTTCTATATTGATCTAAAGCATCATATCGGATTAAATAGGAAACGGAAAGTTAATTTGAGCGAACTACTACAACTACGACTCTCGGATGAACCTCTCACAGAAACAAAAATAGAATACGTTCCGATCTTCTTTAAAATTCATTCTAAAAGCGGATTTAGAAGGAGAGGGGGGGGAAGGGGACAGAGTGAAGGTGTCTTCCCTTTTTCGACTTTTGTTATGTCTCTTTGAGGTGCTGATGCGATGGAAAATTCTTCTACATTCTCTTTCGATTCCTTTTGGCTAAAAATCTCTACGTAAGTTATTGCACCTCAGTTTCATAAGCAAGTCGTTTTATTTCATTTTTTTTATCAACTATAATTTCTGATTTAAACCGTCTGCAAGCACCATATCGTGTTTCAGTTGAGTTTCGTAAGAGCAGAATGGAGACAGAAAGGAAATCATTGACATACCAGCTTACATTTTTAAAGGTGAACCTTGCTTATTTTGTATGAAGCAGAGGATTTTCCTTTTTTTTATAGAAGTTTGCTAAAAGATTCTCTGCACGTAGAACCAGCTGAGTTTAAAAACCTTCTTTGGCATTCTTTAAAGTAAATTTATTTTTCATATTTTCGTCTCAGGGAGAATGAAAGAAAGAATACAGGATTTAATTGATAATTTAGGTATTGGTCGGATGGTTAACAATTTAATTTCACAAACGTATTTTGTAATAGGTGCGCAATACTAAGAATTGTTTGGGAGGCCCTAAGTGATCGAACTTTCGGGAAGATTCCGTCTATACATAAAGGGGGTATTTGTGGTTAAAAATTCTTCATACCAAAAAGAATTGAAATTCCTCTCTAATTCCACAAAACGTAATATTTGAATACCATAAACCTGATATTTTTTTTAAGTAGGGCACGTTTAACGAAGAAATTTCCTCTTTTCGTTTGATCAAATCTCAAGAGAAAACATTGCTACAAACTACCAGGTACCACTTCTTCAATCGTTGAAACTACAAAGATGGCAGAAGCAGTCACAGGCTGCTGAATCGTGTATTCATAACATAGGTTACGTGCAAAAAGTTTCTTGTTTTTAAATTGATATTTGTGAGGGTAAAGATCAAAGAAATGTGTGACGTAACATTCATTTATGTTCCTTTCACGGCCCCTCTAGTTATCTCGCCAACACAGAGATGCAGTATTGAGATGAACGAATGAATAAATAAATGAATGAATGAAAAAAAGAAAGAAAGAGAGAAAGAAAGAGTGGAAGAGAGAAAGAGAGGAACAGAGGAACAGAGGAAGAAAGAAAGAAAGAAAGAAAGAAAGAAAGAGAGAGAGAAAGAAAGAGAGAAAGAAAGAAAGAAAGAAAAAAAGAAAGAAAGAAAGAAAGAAAGAAAAAAAAAGAAAGAAAGAAAGAAAGAAAGAAAGAAAAAAAGAAAGAGAGAGAGAGAAAGAAAGAAAGAAAGAAAGAAAGAAAGAGAGAAAGAAAGAGAGAAAGAAAGAGAGAAAGAAAGAAAGAGAGAAAGAAAGAGAGAAAGAAAGAAAGAAAGAAAGAGAGAAAGAAAGAGAGAAAGAAAGAAAGAAAAAAGAAAGAAAGAAAGAAAAAAGAAAGAAAGAAAGAGAGAGAGAAAGAAAGAAAGAAAGAAAGAAAGAGAGAGAGAGAGAAAGAAAGAGAGAAAGAAAGAAAGAAAGAGAGAGAGAGAGAAAGAAAGAGAGAAAGAAAGAAAGAAAGAAAGAAAGAGAGAAAGAAAGAAAGAAAAAGAAAGAAAGAAAGAAAAAAGAAAGAAAGAAAAAAAAAAAAAGAAAGAAAGAAAGAGAGAGAGAAAGAAAGAAAGAAAGAAAGAAAGAGAGAGAGAGAGAGAAAGAAAGAGAGAAAGAAAGAGAGAAAGAAAGAAAGAGAGAAAGAAAGAGAGAAAGAAAGAGAGAAAGAAAGAGAGAAAGAAAGAAAGAGAGAAAGAAAGAAAGAGAGAAAGAAAGAAAGAAAGAAAGAAAGAGAGAAAGAAAGAGAGAAAGAAAGAGAGAAAGAAAGAGAGAAAGAAAGAGAGAAAGAAAGAGAGAAAGAAAGAGAGAAAGAAAAAAAGAAAGAACAATCGAAGTAAAATAAGGGAACGGTCAGAAACCCTCCCATCAGAACTGAGGGTTCTTTGTACTACTTGTCCTACACCAAAACTCTTGCGACTACAGCCGGCTCGCTTGTCGCTATACTCAATTACTCAATATGAAGTATATAAAGCTATATTGTCTTGTAATATTTCTTAGGCTGTAGTGTGAAAAAAGATCCTGATTTTCTTAATTAAAGTTGGACTCTTTCCTGTGAAAGATTTCCTGAATCTGCCCTTGATCGCTGTTTGCTGCGTCGACAAAAACGTTCTCCAAGCTACCGACTGGCCTTATTTTGGCAGGGTTGAATCAGCTTCATAATTCCGTTTAAACTTTGTGACTGCATGGTGTCAAAGTATTCTGCTCTATCCAACGATAGTAATCGTTGGGACACTTAAATTAATGAGAGGGTGCCCTGTTATCAAGCTTAACGGGAACTCTACTATTTTGTGGCACTTCTAGTTTGCAAGTGCGTTCAGGCATACAGACCGGAGCTGTTCTCAAAGAAAGTCCTGTTTACATATTATCTCGATAAGTGCGTCCTGATGGAACTTACCTTTAAAAAAACCGCTCTCATAGGGGCCACGAATTATCGCAAAAGCCATGACCATTGACGAGAATTTCAATCAAAATACAAACTAAATCATCTGAAATACCCCTCCCCCCGACCAAAAAACGCAAGGTACAACGGTATGCGCATGCTCCAGATTTGAGAGTAAAAAAAATGTTATATCGGTTGTTACCGAATTTTCCTCTGCGCAAACCTATCGACCGGTAGAAATTTTTCAGTGGCAATTGCAGAAATTGCGCTAGAGGACGATAATCATTATTTTGTGAAAACCATAAAGTATTTTATAGGAGGAGCTAATATCAAGACTCTCACCTCCAAACAAAAGCCCAAGTTAGTACGGATAAAGGTAGTTGGAAATTTTCCTCCTCGGTAGATAAACTGAAAGCTCCAAAAAACTCGTATAGATGAGAGACATATTTGATTGCAGTTTCCGTCACAACTGGGAATCGGTTAGCACTAAGGTGCATGTATTCCAGATTACTTTTTACGCTGAACTTGTTTTACTGTTACAGAATCAGGAGTAAAGGGTCATTCTCATTGGTTTCCATGGTACTGAAACGAACGTCAACATTGTTACAGGTATTTTTTTTAACAAACGGGCCACCACAAAACTTACGACGTTGGACAGAATGCATCACGACAGAACGTTTTTTCAGGAAATAAGTTCAATTTCAAAGCCCTTATACCGAATATTGACCAAAATTTCTTGACGCTGTTCTTTCGATCATTAATACACCATAATCGATTTCGAAATAGTATTAACTTACTGCTGTCAAATATTAATCATACGGGGATTACGTCACGTAGCGGAGCTCCAAGCGTATATTTCTACAAACTCTCGTCACCGACGTGTTTGATCTTTTTGCGTCTCAATAAAGTCTGTTTGGTCTAAGTTATATCGATAAAAGACACGGTGCGTGTTTTAGCGATACACATGCAGTGAAGTCGGTATGGGTGGTCGCGTTTTGGAGAGGACTTTCTTAAAGAAATTGACCGTAGTAAGCGTTCTGTTCAACAGTTGCCTTTCTGTCTGTCTACAGGGTCATGATTACAACACGGAAGAATTATTTGTCAGGAGAAAAACGCGCATTATCTCTGTTTACAGGTCTATTAAACATCCTGTTCGGTTCATCAGGTCGCATCACTCGACAACAGGTGGCGCCCTAACGCTCTGTTTACCCAAACACTGTGACTGGAAGAAAACGTTTTTCTTCTTTCAAAATCATCTGCTTCAGCGGAGAAGCACAACTGGATCATGTTTGCTTTACGCTTGGTTACCATGGCGTAAAATATCTTCATACCACAAATCTCTTGTAATGTTCTTGATCCAGCTCTTTAAAGTTGCCACAAAGGGTCATTGCTTGCGCAAGACACCGAGTAAGCATTCTACACGCTTGGATTTCTACTGAGAAGCTCGATACAGTGCTCGGAGTCCATGGTTTTAAAGCCGTCTGTTCTTTGGGCACCGTTAATTCCCCCATGGTGAGACTGTTTTTGTTTCGTCTGGGATCACTGTTAGGACTGTTTGGTTTACTGGTTTGGGAAGCGTTTCGTAGTCAAAACGAAGATAACTTCGCAGGTAAACTTGTCGACAATCATAATAAACATCTGTCAAAATTTTTCTTCATCTACTATTCAGATTTCCTCGATCAGTTTATTTTTCTTTCGGTTCAAATAATCCTTGGTTCTCTCCAGAAGTTGATTTAAGAAAAAAAAACCACTTATTTTGCAGAAAATAACAACTTCAGACGTCACGATGTATACAGTTTTCGAGAAAATACTTGGAAGGTTTGTTTCGTTCTTTCTCCAGGCCCATAATTCTTAATATTTTAGATAGATTTCCGGACTCTTATATTAGAACGAGGCATTGGTAGCGCCCTTTGTAATGAAACTTGACATCTGAGAAGTCTAACACTTAAATCCTGTTCCAGGAGATTAAACCTTGTTTTTGTCGGAAGTGAATCGCTTTGCTGGTTCTAAGTCACGTCAACAGTTGCATTATCCTTTGACACATATTGCATCCACTCCTGATTTTGTCCACTGCAAGTTGTATATTAGAAACAAATCTTCCTCATGAAGATTTTTTAGTTTAAATTTTCCAAGGTTGCCCTAGGCTGTAAAATAATGACGTAATCCTCCTTTCCCTTTACGATTTACGTAATTCTTTCTTCAAAGAAAAAAAAAACCTTCTGTTTCTTCTCTTAATTCTTTTTCCAGCAGTGTACATTGATAAAACTCTCTTTTTACCAATTCCATGTCTACTTACAAATATTTGAAAATTACAGGTAAACGTACCGTAGCCTTAAGAAGGTTTCTGATTGGCTCAGAAAATCTGGCCGGCCTACTTCTCATCACAAACTCAACCAGCCAGATGTAGGAGTACATTTTATCAACTGTAACATAATCACACGCGTTTAATTTTCTCGCGCTTGTCGCTGGCTGCCCGTTATTTGTCGTCCGTCATTTTTTCAACATTAAATTTGCATTATCTACTTATCGTAATGTTAGTATAGTTTGTTTTCGCAGTCAAATTTCTTAATAGCAATGTTTGAGCAAAGCTCCTAGCAGCAAAACACTAACAAGAAATACCTTAGCCATGGCATAGACTCGATATTGTGGAGGTTAGAGTTTAAAAAGATAGAACTCTCTCCTAACTCGGTTTTAAATACTCCAAAGGCAAGTACAAAGGCCATTTTTCTTTCAGACAACTGACGAGACCCAGGAGTTGCGGAAAAAGCGCCTCATTGACTACTGTCACAAGCGAGACCCAAAAGAACTTCTCCCTCCACATTCAAGCAACGAAATCCCCGCGTACTATTTCAGAAACATCATTGTGGATGATTATCACAAACTACTCTATTGTTACATTCCGAAAGTGGCTTGCTCTAACTGGAAACGAGTGCTCATGGTTATGAATGGTGACGCCGCTGACCCATGGAGTATTAAGACCGCGGACGTGCATAATCGCAGCTTGGGATTTTTTCGATATTTGAACCAATACTCTGCGGAGGAGATTGTTCACAGACTCAGCACTTACTACAAGTTTCTGTTCGTTCGACACCCATTTGAGCGACTTGTTTCAGCATACAGAAACAAGTTCATAGACTCTTACAATTTGACGCTGTTTAAAGAGATGTATGGCAGGCATATCATACGAAAATATCGGCATAATCCCGATATCAGGTCTCTCAAGACGGGAGAAGGTGTGAGCTTTGCAGAATTTGTTGAATTTATTAATAATTCTGAGCCCGAGTTTATGGATTGGCACTGGAAACTGTACGACATGCTGTGCCATCCGTGTTTAATTTACTACGATTTCATAGGAAAGTTTGAAAATTTATATACTGAAGCTGACCAGCTATTGAACATTCTCCAGGCGAATGATAAAGTACAATTTCCACACAATAAGACTTCTAGATACAAGTTACCCACAAAAGGTCTAGCAAAGGAATATTTCAAATCGCTGCCGAAGCAGACTAGAGGCAAATTGTATAACAAGTACAGGCACGATTTTGAGATGTTCGGATATTCGATGGAAGAGTACTCCTGAGTATGAATATTTTAACCTTTTTTTTTTTTATGAAAACGCTGAGTTAATGACTGCACATTGTTCTAGTCAAGTGATGCAGCGGAAAATCGACGGGATGCTATGACTTCATCATGCCTTGTCGCATGAAGAACACTTGTTGGTCACGTAAGTGATAATCCATTCTCCGACGCCATGTCAAAGACATGTGAAGACAACAATGGTTGATCTGAGAACCTAGTTTAGCGACAGAAGATTTTATGGAGTTCAGTCAATTAATTATCAACTACCCAGAAGACAAATTATGTCTGCATTACGAGTTCAACTCCAATCGCCGTGGCAGTCTTACGGAAAATGCAGCAAATACTTCCCCTCCTCTTGGATGAAAACGGGTTAAGTTTAAAATTCCGACGAAAAGTCAAGTCAAAAGACTCAAGACTCAAGTCCAAAGTAAAGTCAAAATTCGCGTCAAAACCCAAGGAAAAGGTTTGTAAACTGTGATGGTGCAAAAACAATGACCGTATGCCGTGTAAACGACTGACAAAGACAAGGTTTTGACAAGCTAAAAAAGGACTGAGAGAAGCCACAGAGACGCTTAACATACTGACAACAGTATCACTTTCACAACAACAGGTAGATTACCTGATGACATTCGTGATGATAATGATAAAGGTAAAATCAAGATTTATCTTAATTTCAAAGCAAATAACTAACACGTTACAAGACCTACTGCCAGCTAGGATGATGCAGACGAGAAAGATAAACCTCGAAACCGATAAAATTACACCGAACGCGGAGGTATTCCGTTAGATGGCAAACGAACTAACTTGACAAATTATAGAGATGAACTTGTCAGAATAGGAGAAGTTTACAATCGGAATGAAATTAACACCTAAGATCGTTGCTGTTATCGCATTGATCGCTCATTACAGTAAGAATTTTCGGATTGACTAACGATCTACTGATTGGCTGACTAACAGGCTAGCAGCGCAACTGAATGACCGAGTGACTTAATAACTGACTCTATGACTGCCTGATTAAGCAAATGACTGAGTGATAGACGACTGACTCACTGACGAATGATTTAAATGTCTGTATTCACCCCATGATTTTCAAACTGACTGACAGGCTAACTGAATGAAAAAACTGAATCAGGACTAACTCTTCTCTAACTAAGTGACCAAATGGCTTACTGACTGAGAGACTAAAAGACAACTGCCTGACGGAGGGGGGCAAATGGTTTATACGTGAAGCGCGAGTAAGGCCAAAATTAGACCCCCCCCCCCCCTCTGCCTTTGCTACCCTCTTTACTAACTTACGGCGAGACTGAATGCTGAATGTTCAACTTGACAATAGCTGATCGACTGACCGACTGACGAATGACTGAATGATTGACTAATTCTCTTAACAACTGAATGACAGACTGAAGATTACTGGCTGTTAGAAAGCTCGACAGACTGACTAACTGAGTGACTGATCAATTTACACACGACTAATTAGTGATTAATGTCAGTAGGAACCTCGTGATTTTCACACTTAGTGACTCAGATACCAACTCAAGACTGAATGTTCACTAACCTAACTATTTAATTACTGACCGACTGACTGCCCGACTGTCCAACCGGCTGAATGACTCGCTGATCAATAGACAATGGCTGATGGCCCATATCTTACAGAATGACTAACCGAGCAACTGACAAACGAATTGACCCACACAACGGTGAATTGACAGACATACTTACAGGCTGACTAACAGACTGACTGGCTTACTTAACTTGTGCCTAACATATGATTCGCTGACTGGGTTAAATATTAACTTCCAGGTGCCTTAAACTACAAAAATCACAAGGCTATCACATGATTTAGTATTAATGGTACGTTAAGGAACTGACTGACTTGCTTAATTGCTGGCTAACTGGTCGTCTGACTGTCTGAGTTGCAGATTGATTGTAAGGCTGACTGACTGACTTTTTGAATGACTGAGAGAATGACTTACTGGCCAACTAAACTGACGCCATGCAGAAAACGCGTTGACGAATTGACATGTTGGCTGCCAGATGTCTCACATTTTCCTAGTCGCTAGGCGAGCATCTGGATTGGAACCAGTTATGTGGACACAGACTAATTGATCAACTGACCGACTGACTGACCAACTGACTACCTGGCTGAATGACCAACTGACCACCTGACCGACTGACAGACTTTCTGACTGACAGACTGACTCTGGCCAGCATGTCGATTGACTGACTGCCGACCAATAGACTGACTGATTGACTGACAGACAGACTGAAAAACTTATGCCCAACAAATAACTCGCTAATTGTCACGTTAACTGTCAGATGTATTCAACTTTCCTACTTATAGGGCTATGGACTGATCAACTGTCTTTTGGAAGCATAGACTAACTGAAAGATTGACTATCTAAATAATACATTTTCTTATCGGCTGACAGACTGACTGTCTGACTGATAGACTGACTGATTAGTTGATAGACTGACAGATTGACTGTCTGACTGATAGACTAACTGATTAGCTGACAGATTGACTGTCTGAATAAGAAACTTATAGGCTGACAGACTGTCAGACTGACTGTCTGGCTGATAGACTGACTGATTAGCTGACAGACTAACAGACTGACTGATAGACTAACTCATTAGCTGACAGCCTAACAGATTGAGTGTCTGACTGATAGACTGATTAGCTGATACACAGACTGTCTGATTAATAAACTCTGACTTATTAGCTGACAGACTGACTGTCTGACTGATAGGCTCACTGACTGACTGTCTGAGTAATAAACTGACTTATTAGCCGACAGACTGACTGTCTGACTGATAGACTAACTGATTAGGTGACAGACTGACTGTCTGAATAATAAACTGACTTATGCGCTGACAGCCCACTCTCTGACTGATAGCTGATAGATTGACTGTCTGAATAATAAACTGACTTATGCGCTGACAGGCTGACTCTCTGACTGATAGCTGATAGACTGACTGTCTGAATAATAAACTGACTTATCCGCTGACAGACTGACTCTCTGACTGACAGACTAACTGAGTAGCTGACAAACTGAATATCTGAATAATACACTGACTTATCCGCTGACAGACTGACTCTCTGACTGACAGACTAACTGAGTAGCTGACAAACTGAATATCTGAATAATACACTGACTTATCCGCTGACAGTCTGACTCTCTGACTGATAGACTAACTGATTAGCTGACAGACTGACTCTCTGACTGATAGACTAACCGATTAACTGAAAGATTGACTTTCTGACCGATAAATTAACCGATTAGCTGACAGACTGACTCTCTGATTGATAAGCGGACAGACAGCCTGGCATACTAAACTGATGACGCATGATATCTTGCTGACTGATTAACACGTTCGCTGCCAAATGCATTTAACTACCCTACTCACAACGTTCGCACACGGATTGCTACCAAAGACGCAGTGACGGACCAACAGTGTACGTACATCTCATGTGAATATGACTAAGACCTACAAGTAAGACATAGACTGAAAAACGGTATTGTAAAATTTTCTGTCAAAAACTGTGTTCTTACGTTGAAATATGCAACACGATTTTTGGTTGCGCCGAAAGCTCTGCGGTGAGGCAATTGATGTTGAAGATAACTCAGTAGCACTAATAAGTCTCTTGTCACCAATGTTCTCACTCCACCTGCTCTGACGACTTAAACAAGAACTTGACTTCTCCAAACTTTTTTTTTTGCATTTAGCTACCTCAGAAAATATTGGCAGTAGTCCGAAAAATTGTATATAGTTGTAAATAAAAACCATCATGTACTAATGAACTGACTGACTTCTTAATACAAGTTATTTTGTTGGGCCGTGACTGACCGTGCTTGAATTTGACTGACACGCAGACGAATGGATATTTTACCGGTTTACTCGCATACCGTATTTACTCGAATGAGCAACGCGGCGCTTATTTAATGTTTCCCGCTTCAAATACAGCGCTCATTCGAAGGCTGTGCTCATTTAAGGGGGAGCCTTCAAAACTTGTACGCGACGAAGTAATGTCATCTTTCAATTTCACGGTAAATTTTTCATTTGCGCAAAAATTTTATGAAATATCTCATGTTCCAAAATTTTTCAGTTACTAACAGATGTATCTTTTAGTTATCACCGTTTGTCTTTCCCGCCACCGTGCGCGTAGTGTCCTCGATCATTTTAGATGTAGCTGGCCCTTCTTGATCTGAGTCTCTGAGCTCTAGCGCGGGAGAGTACACCTCTTCTACTTTTCAATCTGTACATTCGACAGGTTTTGTATTGAGGACACCCAAGATATCCAACTGCGTACAGTATTGCAGCTTGTGAAAGAATTCTTCGAATCAGTAAGCGCCGCAACCGGGACCGTAGCGCTTGTTCGGAGGCGGTGCCTATTAACTTTTCTGTCCCAAATGCGGCCATCTACTCTAGGGAGGAGCTTATTCGAGAAAGTACGGTATTAAGTTATAGCATGACCACAGCATTAAGATCAGTTAAAAGAAAAAGAGTAAACACGAATCAATCGACTTGTTGATTCTCTTTTGAAACGACAACTTTACAGTGACATAAGATGACGACCTTTCTATGTAAAGTGATAACGCGCTAAAGCCGGAACGAAAAAACAGTTGACTAAGACTCTTGTGCATGTAAGTCCAAATTAAGTAACTAACAAACTGTCAATCCTTGTCGAGACGTCCGTGCTGAGCTTGTACTGGTTCATTGAACAACCGTCTGTGTGACCCATGGACTGAATGTCTGGCGGACGGACGAGCTGACTCAAAATAAGCAATATTTACAGAAACCGTCGTGCCATGTCGGTTAGCGAGCACTGTAAAAAACTGAGGGCCGGTTATTCATACGATGCCTAAACCGAACCACGGGTATACGCAATCAGCGGAACTCGATCTTTCTTTTAAACAGGGTTGATTTAATGAAATAAATGTCCATTCACTGTTATCTTCCGGCCCTTTTGACGCTGTCCACAAAAATAAATGTTTAGATGAAAGGTTCAGCGAGACTGACTACCTCATTGACTGACTTCCCTACCGGTTGAGCGATCGACTAATTAGCTGACCCCTAAAGGCTGACTGACTGACTGGCTGACTGACTTTCCTACCGACCGACCGGACGATCAACCGACTGGCTGACCCCCAAAGGCTGACTGACTGCCTGACTCAGAGACTGATCAAGCGATCGACCAACTGGATGACCACCTAAAGGCTGACTGCCTGACAGAGACTAAATAAGTGATACTGAATGTCTTTCCCGATGAAGTTCTTACGTCAGACTCTGAGACGGGAAACCACTGACTTACTATTTCCTTCACTGATTTAGGCGCGCTAATGCACTTTTGGACCTCTACAGCTTGTTTAGTATATATTTTTGTACATAAATACTTCAGTGACTTCTGACAGCTGACTTTTTTAGTGCTCCAAGGTTTTTATTTCAGGGGTAGCCATCTTCAAATAATCGACTGTCTCAATTCACATTTTGTCAATAACTACCCAGCAGTGGAAGGGAAATGATTGGTTGTCACACTGAGAAGAATCAAAGCTTGGTATTGTGTCGACTACAAGCGAGCCATCATGATCGTCACCGTAAAACAATGGTCGAACTCTATTAGCAAATGGGGATTTGAGGCAAGCTAAGAAAAACGTACATCCTCTAAATTCCGTAGGAGAAAAATGGACAAAGTACCGAGCGGTGCGTGCCAGGCAAGATACTATGTATGCGGTCAAACCTCTTCCAAGAGGAACTCTCAGGAAGGAAGTTTCATATACTGTCAAAATCCTAATTAGTTAGAAACTACGAAAGTTACTACAAGAAAATTCATTTTTCATTCTAGTCCACAGGCAATAATCGGGAAATGACTGTAGAGACTTATTCCGTCTCAGCGCGACACCCTCATGCTCATATATAAAGGCAAAAACATTACACTTACCTAAAACGAGATAACACTTCTTGTCCATAACTGGTTTAAAGATATGAGTATTTAAAGGATACTCAGCAATATATTCTGTTTTGAACTAAAAGTAAGTTGTTTTTTTTTTCCAGTTAATAACATATTCAATACAAACCACTCCACCTCCGTGGCATCGCAGCCACGCCTCCCCTTGTGCCTTTCAACTAGCGGGAATTGTAGAGGAGCAAGACGTGCTTATTCACAGTCTATCCTTTCGCTTAGCTCGCTCACGCTTCAAACAGTTCCAAACGGTTGGTTTGCGGTGCTTACGAAAGTCGTGCCTAATTTTAAGTTTGCACTTCCTTACTTGCAATCCGTTCTAACCTTCTCCATCACTTTCCACCCTTGTTGATTATACATTTGTTTGCTCTTTGGTATTTTTCTGTTAAACTGAGCCAGAATTAGGCAAACACGTACGCTTATTTCCTGAAGCTTGGGCTGCGTCGCAATCTATGGTTATTTACCATGTCCGGAACAATCCAATTTGACCCGTCATTTTGAGATTGAACAATCTTTTTTTCCGAGTTTTCCTTAACCTCTAAGTGGATATTATAGCCAGCGAGGATGTCTAATTCTATTTCAGTTTTATTTTTTAGTTTCTCGTCTAGTGTTCAAATCATATCAATTTTCATAAGTTCTGATACCTTATGGGTCTCAACAATTAAGGTTTGACTTTGATGGACAGGTGAAATATAGTGCGGGTGGCCAAAAAACAAAGACCCTTAGTTTACAAACAACACAAGAGCCATAGGTGATTTTTCACGGACGGTTTTTATTAATTCCGACGGCAAAAAATGATGGCAAAAAATCGATCGTTCACACAAACTGAATTCCGCTGCAAGATGGATTAAAGATACAAAGGTTGACTTAACACAACAACTATGACCTCACTTGTAACTAATCTAAACGGAACAGAAAAACCAAAGCTCGTCAAAATGGGCAACAGTTTTAACCATAAAGACATGACTAGGACGGTACAAAAACGTGCTCATATGAGAGTTCAGCTACTGTAACAAATAAATGATGACCATTAAAGAAAAAAAATTGATTGAACTTTTCCCTGATCTAATATAAAACGAGAGAATCAAAGCTAATTAATTGAATTAAGTGGAGGCTCATAGTTGCCTAATCTCCGCGCTGCATGTCTTAATTATTCGGCGTTGCCGTCGGCTTTCACAGCCTCTTCATTCTCGGGCTTGGATTCGCTGTTTTCCTTTCCCCTCTCTCCGTCCTATTAGAAAAAAGGCACAATCTGAATAAGAGCAAGGCAACCTCCTTAAAAAAAAGTAACGGAACAAAAACAAGCAGTACCACTACCACTTAAGTTAACCTAACTGCATGGGAAGCGCTCCAAGCTGAGCTCGTTTTGGACGCTAAGGCAATTAGTTAACGTTTTGGCGAATAAATTTGCAGCAAGCTTTTAAGTGTCTATTAGTTAGTGTTCAAGGTCTAGTGAGTTGTAAGAATTTACATACAATACTGTCGATTCAAATCATCGGTGCTTTATTAGAAAAATACAAGCAAATATCATTTCTGGCGACCAAATAACGACTTCGGTACAATTTGACCCTGACAAGGCCTTTTTCTGAGGCACCAAAATCTAACAATTGTACAGTCTGGAGAACACCTCTACATAATGCGCCAGTTCATCTAACCATGACCCCACAATCAAAGGATCAAGACTAAAATAATTACTGACTTTCCGCGACTTCACTTTTACCTCTCTACGAGGGCGCCTGTTGTAAGATCTGCGGTAAGGACGACGACGGCGACGATTCTGTGCCGGACGCTGCAGGGTAAACAAAACGAAAAAAAAACAACAATTAATCATTCATTTTATATAAGTGAAAGCCATTTCCCTTGGATCGGAAACAATGTAGTGAACCCGCAAGTTTCTGTCATAGAAGCATAGTCTTGATTAATTCACGAGAAAACGACACGTCTCGGTTTGTTTCACTGTCTTTTCTTTTTTTCGCCATAATAAGTTCTTACACCACACCGTTTTCCAAGGCGCGACCAAGATGAGACCTTGCTTAAACAGCATTTACCAAAAAACCCACACATGTAAGTAGTTTCACGTTTAGCAAAGAGCGTCAACTTTCTCTACAAAAGCTCAGATAGCGGCATATCCTCCCTTAACATTATAAGCCCTTCCGTGTTTGCCTTGTATTAAGCTTCACCCACTCACTCACAACAGTCCAGCATTCCCCTAATTGAGCTAACCACGCTCTGGCCACTAATTTGACAGGTGGTCATTGTTTCGGTTTGTTCCGCTACCGAAAACCTAATAATAATGATAACACCATTCATACATTTATATGGCGCAGTCTTCACGTGAATGTTCCAATACGCTTAACAACACTTTGCGGGGGGATTTGGCCAGACCGCGTTGAGCCTAATGTTCCGTCATCACAAAACTACTATTAGAGGAAAGCAACTTTTGATTACCTCTTCTCCGTCTTCTCCTCCTTCATGATCACCATCTCGTTCTTCTTGTTCATCGCCTTCAGGGCGTTCCTCATCAGACCTGCGCCTGGAGAAAAAATTTCAACACAAACCGTTAGCTCACAACCAAAAGATTAAACATCCTATAGATCGAAAAAAGGGGGGAAAACCTACGCCAAAAAAAAAAGAGAAAAAAAAAGAAGAAAGGGAAAAGAAACAAAGGAGAAAGAACAGGAACAACGCTTACCTGTATCTGGGACGTCGTCTACGACGGGGTCGTCTCTTCTCCTTATCATCCGACTCCTCTCTCGGCTCTTCTCCTTTCTCCTCGGACTGATCACCTGATTCGTTATCCCGTGGAGGAGGACGGGGCCGCCGACGTCTCGCCCAGGGTGGTGGCCCGCCGTAGTAGCGCCTGCCCCGGCGTGGTCTTTCATCGTTGTCGTTCCGTTCCTGCTGATCACCCGAGTCCCCTGCCTCCTTGCCTTCCTCCTCAGGTTTAACCTCTCCGTTTGTAGCGGAATTAGGCCTGCCACGGGGGCGGCGTCTGCCACGACGGTAATCTCGATAGTTGCGGTAGTAGTTCCTTCGGCGGTCCGCTAGGGAGAAAATGGACATGTTTTACAATTTTTGTTGTTTTTTTGTTCTCTTTTTTAATTACTATTATTGTTATTATTACAACTAATATTAAATTTTATTGTCATCATTATCGGTACTATTTTCATTATTTTTATTACTTTGTATTTGAAAACCTTGATAAGCCTGAACCAAATACAACTGTAAGAAAACTTTTGCCATCTCTCAAGGAAAAAAAATTAATTTACAACTGAATATTTGAAGAGAGCAGAAAAAAATGGATTCTTAGAGAGAAGGGTTGACAGTAGGACTCAGTAAGCACTACTCACGCGCATATTTGCTTCCTTGCACAGGGCTCCCATCTGGTCCTGTTACGTTGGCTGCTTCGAGACCCTAGTAAATGATAGAAAAACAATGCACAAAATATTTGGAAAAGGAAAAAAAAACGACAAAAAAGGCCAAACATTATCATTTTTCAGTTTTGAATGCAAGGCATTCATTGTTGAAATCTGATAAAGGTTCCCAAAGAAGCAAGAATAGATCTAAAAATAACATTCAGGTATGAAATTTGTTTCAGTCAAATTGTGATTAGAAAAATAATTGTTGCACAAATCAATTTTTTGCGTGAACCATAAAATTTATTTATTGCATTTGCTTCTTGAGAGCGCCTAGCAAAGCTGTCCTTCTAGAAGTATTGATAGAGGCCTAAAGGCTGCCTGAGGGAAGGGGCTATCGATGCTGAAGTTAGACACAGTTAAAGCAGAAGAAAAGGAAAAAAAAGGAAAGAGCCCATACTGTGGTGGACAACTCCATGCACAGATTGACCTAATCAGCCAGCAAAGAAACAAAACTAAGGGAGTCTGAGGTCATCTTAGTTTGTGATGCACACACATTGTCTGAGAAATTCGAGGTGCCCAGAGTTTACATTTCAAAAGTTTCAATATAAGTTAACTTATTCAGGCCAACAAAAGACAGAGCAAAGTCCCCTCCATTGGGATACAACCCTGTCTAGCATCCCCCTACAGACAGGATAACATTCAGGATGTTTAAGCTGAAACAAGTTTAAGTGACTGGCCAGTCTATGTGATCGATATATTCAATTCATCTTTTACTGTGTCTTTTATACATTTTCCTTACGTTTCCCACCTTCGCTCCTGATACAACATCAAACTCCACAGTCTCTCCATCTCCAACACTGCGCAAGTACTTCTTGGGATTGTTCTTCTTGATGGCAGTCTGAGGAGAATAAAGAGAACAGAGATTTTTAACATTTTATGATGTTAATTGTAAGAGCGATGTTACATTATTCACTTGCGCCATCTTTAACTTAAGAATTTAGCTACAGACGCAAAAAAGATTCCACTGATCATTTGACTTTAGAGGTTTTCATTAACCATTTAGACTAGACTCGTTTTTGTTTAACAATTTGACACTTGATTTAAGTAATACAATTAGTGCAGTCAGACTATGGATTCACCAGGGTACGCTTTCTAAGACCTGGGAGATCTAAAGTGTAATATATATAAATTCATCCAGTTCCTGAGCAAACAACTTTTGGATTTACTTGAATATGTTATTCATTCTGCTTATAACCATCAAAGGTCTTTATTCTGACCTACACCATGGTTTATTTTCCCACAGGTAATTAATTTAAGTATGGTTTCATTCAACATCCAATTATGTAAAGTCTGTCCATTTAATAAAATTTATTTAATAGGTGAGTGCAATTGTTAAAACTTGATCAGGAAGAGAGGTGGTAAGCTTTTATTGGTTAATTAAGAACTACATAACACACTTTTGCCCAGTTAGAATATTGAATGTACAGTATTACTTATCAAATATGACACAGCAATTAAGTTGGGAGTACAATATGAAAAAGTTAGACATTGTATCCATTTATTGTATTGATTCCACATACTATGGCACTTGAATTATTTTTTTTATTTTATTACTCCAAAATAAATCCAGTCATTTCCAAAATCTAGTGAGGAGACTAAATGTTACAGCAAAATCACACAATAGTTTTTACAATGGGGCCAGATTTCATATTCCAGTTCATTATTTCACAGGTGATTCATTTATGTTGAACTTTTCTTGGTAGCCAATATGACAAGCTTCTTTGTGGCAGATCAAAACAAGAAGATGTTTTGCCGAGAGGTCCTCAATTTCAAAAAGCCTAATATTCATCCAATTTTATGAAGGGAGAGGAGTAAATGAAGACTGATGTTATCAAAGCAGAACTAACTTGGATCAAACCTAATTCCTCTTTCCAGTCAAGTGATCCAGTTCAACTGCCCTTATGTCAAGGTTTCATTTCTTTCTGGGTCAATGACACTGACGAAGAAATTTACGCTGAATGTATTACTAAAACTGTTTAAATTCAATTAGCCTGAGTGGGTTAAATATACAGATGAACCCTCGTAGTCTAAAAACATAGGTAACGGATGATCAGAAAACGAAAAGCAAAGATAAAGTTTAAGAAAATGGCTACGTTGTGACCACAGTCACCTACAGGTTGTGAATTAAACAAAAGGAACTGAGAGAAATCATTTAAAACCGCCTTCAAATCTTAATATCACAAAAAGTCAACCTTACAATTCTTAGGTGCTGAAATTTACACCAAAATGACATTTATTTGATTCTCCAGACAGTTAAATTGATTGAGAAACTTACCTGATGAACAAATATATCTTCCTTGTTGTCATCTCTAGGGGAAAGAAAAACAAAACGAGATCATTGCAATGCGTGGGACAAATTGGAGGATGCAAATGAGCTATGCGTGGCGAAACGAAGTTCGCTTTGCTCTCGCCATCAACGCGCCCAAACTACGAATTTCAAATTCGATTCTCAGCAAAGAAAATTAACGAACGACTTTGAAGAGTTAGAAAGCAAAACAAACCCAGATGAAAGCAAGAGAAGAAAAGAATTTCTTTGAACTAACCTGTTGATAAAGCCATAACCGTTCTTCACGTTGAACCACTTCACTGTACCGCTCACTTTACTGGCTAAAAGATTGAAAAAGCCACGTCAGACGGTTAGTAAAACGAGATGAACCACTCTCTGTCACCATAAAAGTAAACGGAACACAATCTATGCAATAAGGACATGCCATGTGGCCAGAAAACCTTATCGTGACAATATCCATTAACAATTCATATTCACGCTATTGCGGCGCACATGTTCGAGATGTCGCTTTCATTTTATTAGCATGCAACATATCGCGACGCGCAAGGCAAACTCACCAACAACTTTCTTCTCAACTGACTGTTTCTCTTCGACTTGAGGCTCTTCAGTCGTGGTCATGTTGCTGATGTTACAGCCTCGTAGGGCTCCGCTACTAGGTGGTGTTTCCCACAAAGGTCTTTTGGTGTTCCGTCTGTTCCTCGATGGATGGCGTCCTCTGTGACTCAAATCTTTCCTTTCGCATTTCTTGTAGTCACGCAAGGGGTCTTGGGACCGATTTCCAGTCCCGCGCGTTTCCGCGCCAATCAATCGGAATACAAGAAAATCATCTTTTAACTCAGCGCGAAATTTTGTAATCTCGCTACTTCCTTAAACATTTAAAACTGCCTTTTCTTCTTAAAGGTTAACTTCGAAGAATCTAAGTGAAAAATTTAGACGTTGATACGTCGAAGGATATTTTAAACCAAGGATTTTCGGAAACATTCGGGATATTGTCGCGATTTAATCGTAGAATTCTCGGTATAAGCGAGTATTAAGGAAAAACATGGCGGTTGCTGGAAGGCAAAATCAACTTGAATACTTTCTTCAAGGAAGCGTGGGGAAGGAATCCGTGAGCACTCTTTTGCATAGACTTAGAGGACTGTGTGATGGTGCATCTCGACAGTTTGCGACCTTTGCAGATCGTGAAATGTTATATTCACTCGGTAATACAAAGCTATTTTCTTCACACGATAAGAGCAATACAGAGATTGTACGTTTCTTTTAAGTTACACATCGACGATCATCACCTGGAAAAAATGACGCTTTTTCGGTTTCTTGCAACCCATTCCTGGAGAAACGTATTTTTATCCTTAAAATGGCTAAGCCACCTTTTCTCGGTCCTTGTTCCACGCATACAATGAGTTCATGGATAACTGTTAAAAAAAATGTCTCGATTTGAGTTTAGATGAGTATTTCTACGCTTCTTTTTGCAATTTGGTAATGCTGTCATTTGCCCTGTGTTGACCCAACACCTTCCTCAGTTTTATTATGGCTCTCACCTAATTCATATCATCATCATTATCATTAATATCATTATTGTAACTATCGTTATAGTTATGACTATCATTATTATAAGAATTATTATTTACTTTTTGAATGACTTTTATGGAACATTATCAACTGTGTTTTAGAATTAGTCAAAAATTTTTGTGTTCATGATAGATAAAAAGGGTTTAAGTAATTGTCAAGTTCCAATTTATGAGAATGTATTATGATAATGTATTATTATTCAACTTTCCTACACTGTACGAATTCCGATTTTCTGATTGGCTGATTCGTACCATGTGTCATACTGGGTTGTGATGAAACAACCTCCTTGATGCTATTATTGTGGTGTAATAGCAGTTGTTTAAATTCAACACATTGCTGTTATTAAACCATGGCTTCAGCTGACTGGTTTATAGTGATCTCAGTGCAGTGTTTCTTTGTGCAGTGTATTAAATTTGAAAAATAAAAAAGTTGCTGAACTCATTGCTTGTGAATTATCGGGATTTACTTGTACTCATTCACAAACAATGAACTTGAAATTTTCAATACTGCACAAGGCTGGTATTGAAATATCTCGTTCATTATTAGTGAACTCATGCAGGTTAATCCTGATGATTCACTTGCTGAGTGCATTAACCTGTAATTAAATACATGGATACTTTATTTTTTTTGTGTGAGTTTTAAATTCTATTGTTAATTTTACTGTTTTGCTCTCAAGGTGGTCCAGGGAACAGTGTTTCGCTGAGAGCACGACACTCTCTAGATGACTCCAAAGCACCATGGTAAGCAGTTAGCTCATAACTGATCTGTCACTTATGATCTCTCTTTGTATAGATATAAAACACTTTGACTCCTCTAAGCGATCGATGCATAATTCCTCCTTACAATACCAATACAATATCAAGCAAACATGTGAAGAGAATAAAGAAAACATCAGTTAGGGCAATACTAATTAATCCAATTAGAACTAAATTCTCTAAACCAACATTATAAATATTGTATGTCAGATAGTAAGGAGAATTATTAATGAGATCTCAGGAATGAAGGGATTGATAAGGGAAGTGTGTAAAAGATGCACACAGGAAAAGATGGAAAGGTGGTGCTCATTCTCGACAACAACACTATTGCTTCTGAAAAACGAGAGGTGACAGAGAAGAAATTTGATAAGTATATTTTCTGTTTTCCAGAAACTGAAGAGGGGTTGAAATGTGGCACTCTCTGTTGAGGCTTAGAACATTTACTTTTGAACATTTGCTTTGTTTTGTTTTTGTTTACCATATGTGGAGAAAAAAAACAGTGCACTAAGAATTTACTTTTCATACTAGCTTATACTGCATTATTTTGTAGATGTTGAATAGTGATGAAAGTAAAGTTGATTTATTGTGAATTATCCTTGCTTAAAGTACTTTGACCAAAATCACAGCACTGAAGCAAGAATCCATTGATTGAAATATTAACTCAAAGGAAAACTGAGAATACATAATTGTCTATACGTACTATTTAGGTTTTTTAGTAAAGGACTGTATGGAATAACATTATAAATTACGTTGATGCAAAAACAAAATCTCCTTGTTTTTCACAAGGGAATACAAGGCAATCTGGAAGGAGAATGTAGCAGTTCAACTGTTCCGTACATCCTTCAAATGCACTGTATACTACTAAGTAAACCTAAATATTCAAAAGCAATCAACCCTTATACTCTCATGAACTGTTTATTAATTCTTCCCTCAAGCTAGTAAACATTTTCTTTTGATTAAGTTACGAGAATTTGGTGTTAAATCAAGATAACCTCCACCTGATAAGTTTGAGTATTCTCATTACCTGTTTGCTGGATATGTATTGGTATTATTTGGAGAAATTACATGTTAAACACTTATTGGAGTTCTTTTTTTTTTTTTCTTGTCAGGCAGTTACGCTATGTTGGTCAAAGTGAAATGGGTGATAAAAGTAGGAGCACCCTGTTACGCAGTTGTGTTGAGGTGTCAACAAGTGACAATCTGACAACTTTCCTTAAAGAACTTGGATTTAGGTGAGTAATTTTATTGTTTCTTTCATGATTTATTTTCATTGTAAATATGCAACAATTTAGTAGTAAACTTGGTTGCACCCTAAATGTTAATTCTTTCTCCGGTTTTAATAGGTATGAGAGTGAATTTGTCTTGAAGGGATATTATTTTATCAAAGGACATATGCGAATCACTGTCAGTCAAGTTTGTAGAGTAAGTAACTGCCTTTTATTGAGGGAATGAGCATTTAAACTGTAGGTTTGTGGTTGCTAAATTGTACTTATTGGCATGTAAGACAACTTCACTGTTATTATAGTATAATTTACAATGGAGCCAATTACCTCTGCTGACCCAAAGAGTGAGTAGCATCTAATTTCTCCTTGACGGTATAGTTGCCCATAAATCAGACATTAAGGTCACAAAAAAGAGAAAATGATCACCAACTAAAGAAGCTATTGATTGTTAAACAAACTCTCCTTGTCAGACCTCAGGAAAAGTATAGAGAACAGTATGGAGAATGTGCATACTGATGTTTAAGTGTAAAGGGTGAAGAGTTTGACTATTATAAAAGGAAAGCTTGCCTTACTGATATCTGTTGGCTATGCATGAACTACATGACAGTACAAATGCTTTCAATCTGTTCTGCATTTACTGACTTAAACACTGTAACTCCCAGGAGTGATTAACATGTAACTTCTCCCCATAATATCCAGAAATTATCAAGCAAACAGGTTATGAGAATACTCAAAATTACTAGGGAAAATACCTTGATCTAACTCCAAATTCTCAACTAATTTACAAGAAATTGTGTAGCAACTAGAGAAGAGAATAAACAATCAGATCCTAGGAGTTAAAGGTTAATTTCAAAATCTCAAAGCTTGCATTATAAAAACGTTTAACAGACAGTGAGGAGAATTAGTTTAATCAATAGTTCATTATTATATACAAAAAACATGACAACATCATGGAGGAAGGGCTTAAGCCTGGCTTTTTCATATGACTTTGAGGGAACAAGTGATAAAAAGTGTCTCTACCAGTAGTTAATCTGTTAACTAAGTGTAAATTGCTATTTTTATGGACATGTTGTATTTGTTGCTCTCTATACACAGGTTGTGGGTGTCAATGATCCACAATCATCCCATCCTATTGCAGAATCATACCTTGTGGAAATCAGTCTTATGACCACAGTGCAACAGGTAATAGAACTAAGGAACTCTTTTTTTTCATTTGTCACTAGTCAAAATTAAAGAAAAAATTTGGGTTCCCCAGAAGGAATGAACCCAAGATCTGAGGTTTTGTGGTCCAATACTCTTTCAGAGAGCCATGGACAAATTTTTGGTGAGCTAGAAAATGTATAAGGTTATATTTCAGTAGTACTGTTAGTTTGTAGCTCAGTGGTAAAGCATCAGACTGTAAAATCCAAGAGGTCTTAGGTCCCATCTGTTCTGGGGAAACCCTGATATTTTATTTTTCCCTCAATAATAATTATGAAAGATCAACACATTAGGTTGTTGAAGAACTGTATTAAAAATACACATCTAGCTTTCTTTATGTAGTAATAGGTGGTGAAATTTCCAAGTGGTGGATATAGACAGTTTATTTGGAACAGCTTCCTATGAATGGCATTTTCAAAATGAAGCCATAGAATGTGACAAGAAACTTTTTAAGTATCTGATCTCTCTGCAGGACACCTTGGCTGATGAGATAAAGGCTTTTGCAGAACACTTGAAGCCGTATCCTTTTCTTAAAATCTGTTATCCTTTTTTAATGCCAAAGGGATTATTATTGAAAACATTTGTGCTGGGCTCAATTTGCAGGGTTTCTTCAGTCAAGTGTTAAGTCCCCTAAGAAGGAAGTTTGTGCTTGGTGACAATTTGCTTTATATTAAATGAATCAACGTGCATGGATGTTCATGATTTTATGCAAGTTGTCCTATACAGACATTTCATCAAGAATATTTTCCTCTGTCTTGTTGCAGAGGGGGAATCTTTACATTTGAATATATCTTTGGGGAGGGGGGGGGGTGTGCTAGGTATGGAAGAAGGGCAGGGCTCAAAATAAAATGAAAATCTCTAAATTTTAAATCCAAGCTGGTGAAGGCCCAAAGAAGTTTGTGTTCAGATTTGATTGATTTAGTTATAAATTTGCCTTGTTGAATTTCTTGGTTCTACTCTGAGGGGAATATAATTACTGATAGCCTAACTCTATAGTCTTAACACAGCTAAGCTTTTTATTTGCCATAACACAATTAATTAGTCTAGTTCACCTAGAGAAAGTTGATCACAGAAAACTACACATGACATAGCAAAGGACAGTTCTGGTAACCTTCAATGGTTCATATGGCTTTACTATCACCAACTCACTACTGGAAGAGAGCTGTGTGCTTCTAAAGAAGTGATCCAGATGTGGTCTGTCAAGATTTCAATTCTTGCAAAGATTCATTGACATTGAAGAAGGTCCATGATGTTGATGGTCTTTTTTTTCAGCTTGGGTTTTTGAAACAAAAATTATCAGATCCTTTAAAAAATGGACAGGTTTCAGTGAAACTAATGGTGATGACACTTCAAATTGAATGGAAAAGGTGAAAGACAAAGCATAGTGCTTCATCACCTTGTGCTTCTGGAACTGTTCTTCTGATGGAACATTTTAATGTTTCAACATCAATTCTGAGAATGTATAACACCTTGAGTTACTGGAGGCATAAATGCATAGAGCTTCATAACATCATGCTGCAGGACTTGTTCTTCTGCAAGATGCATTCTAATCACTTGCGCACTTGATGCTTCACTGGAGAAAAATAGTCCTGAATGAGAGTTTAATCTTAACCATAAAGTACAGTACAACTGCAGCAACTATTGATGAACCCTCAGGATCCAAGTGGCCAACAATAAATGAAAAGGACCTAAATTGGAACTGACGAATGTTTTATTTAATTTGAGAAACACAGTTTTATGTTCTTTTTTAAGAAATATTTACCAACTTTTTTATGTTTTTCATTTTCTGAGACTTAATATTCTGTTAGAGTTGTCATATTATTCAGTTTCACCACACTTTTTTGCATATGTGCCAAGGAGCCTCCTCTCACTTTAAAACCCCTCTCACTGCCCCTCCCCCAAACAAAAGTGCCTAGAGAAGAAATGAGAAAAAATGGTTTGGCAATTATCATAGCAGTAACACATCATTGTTCTCAGTGCATTTTTCTTAGCGTCCTGGGCCTAGTTGTTCAAAGGCTGATCAGGGCTAACCAAGGGTTAAATTTTAATGTGGGTTTCATTATCCTTTGTTTAAAAGCCTCTTTCCTTCATTCTTTTTTTTAAAGGCATTTAGTTATAAAATTGTAGACAAAGGGAATTGTACTGAATTTTCTTTTTAAGCTTTTAGATCCAAAATCAGGTTTCGCATTAACCCTGGGTTATCTTAAGCCAGCTTCAAACAATCTGGAGATTACTCAGGCTCTTGGTCTATTGTAGTGTTTGCAGAATTAGAAAATATCCCTGGTCAAAACCACTGCGCCAAAATCGACGTTTTCAAATATGTTAAGAGGAGTTATCGAAATGGCCTATTTTCAAACTTCTTGATTAAAGTTTGCGAAAAATTTAAGTCGACATCTTTCGCACCCTCTGAGCGGAAGAGCTTTACCCCACCCTGTTGAGGAATTTATCGCTTAGTCACGTGATAAGAATATACAACAACAGTAGAACGCTCCTGGTCAGCACAGTTTGTGTGCGCATGAAGCAAAAGGCGAGATGGGGTCTCTTCGCTGTGTGAACTGTCTTCTCTTTTTCGTCTCAACTGTACTTTTAGCAGATGTTCACAGTGTAGAACAAGGTAAGATTTTTCTATCATGGGGATTGCAGTTTCACGCAATACTCCTTTTGATGGAAAGATCAGACACTGAAATTTGTTTCTGGTTCTTGACAGGAACAGATGAGCTGAGACTTCTCGCTATAACTGTAGCAACGGACGAAACAGATGGCTATAAAAGATTCATGAGATCTGCTAAAGTTAACAACATCGATGTGAAGGTATTCTTAAATTATTCATGCGTCTTTCCATTTTGTGGTCTTCTGGGTGAACGACATCATAACCAAGTCATACAAATTCCCTCTTTTCTCCCTACTGCTTTGAAAATGTGCGTGAGGAGCTGACACCTTTGTTACTGTTTTGACAACATCAATCCTTGACTTGTTGGAATTTATTATTTCCATTTTTCAAATGGCATTTGGTATAGAGCCTTATGAACTGTGTTTTACTTCGTTGATCTTCTTTGATCGCTGTATTTTAAGACAAATTCGTGACAGTGCATAAATCTTCAACGTGCAAATTTCACACGTGTTACTGTTATGCTTCAGCATCGTAGGTGTAAATATTCATTTGATTCTCTGAAACAGAGGGTGATATAACTGCCTCAAATCCCTTTGATTTTGTGGGTAAAAAATGATTAGCGAACCTTGCTCGGAATTTTTTCGAAAGTTGTCACTTCCATGAATCACACTCACGCTGATAGCCTAATGTTTTTATTATATTCGATTCTTTCATATCTTGGCCGGTCACTTGCGGAAGTAGGACATAAAAAATGTCTCCATGTCAGAACAGTTTTTTAATTTTTTTCCACAAAATCTAACAAAAACCTGTCGCACATAAAGATCCTAAAGTCGACGGCCGACTTCGCGTTTATATTTTGTAGACGTCCACGTCGACAGGGAAAAACCGATCAAATTTCATGTTATGAAAGAGCCCTTGATCTTTTGAAAAATTCAGCGTTGTTTGAATGAATAGTCTGTTGTGTAAAGTTTACGTGAGAATTCGCACGTTCCTGGCCAATTTTTGATTTGATGGTATTTGGGTTTTGCCGAGAATTATCTGATTATATTATTATATTAAACGAATAAATTTGAGTGAGACACTATCATTTTTCCCAAATGAAGGTCAATTAACTTATATGTAAATACTACTGGAGCAGCATGTTATTTGAATTGGTGCCTTGCTCAAAATATTAATGTCAAGTCAGTAATATCAAGGTATCTCCCTAATTTCTAAATTTTTTTCTATTCTTTCTGCTGTTATTTGGCAGTTTTATAGGGATATCTTTGATATGTTAAGGAGGCAGTTGGTGATTAGTGCTCTGAATTATGAATCAACTATTTAGGTTTTAGGCAGGGTCAGAACAGTGCAGTGCCACACGCTCAAGATTTTCCAAAATCATCATTTGGAGACCATAACTCAGAAAATGGCTGCCTAAAAAAAAATTCAGTTAGCAGTGGCTGGCAACCATTTTTTAGGGCTCACACAAGTTCTCAAGACTCAACACTCACAACTAAGGAGAAAGAGGCAACAATAGAGCATTAATAGTAATCTTTGCACATGTTTATCTCAATTTACCCCCCTAACATTAGGTATGCATTTTCTCCATACTGTTCTTTAAACATTTCCAAAGGTGCTGATAGGGAGAATTTGTGTACCGATTAATGCTTCTTTTGTTGGTGATCATTTCCTTTATTCTCATGACATTAATGTATGATTCTGTGGTGATATTGTAGGGAGAAATTAGATGCTAATCACTCCTAGTGTTTAAAGGGTTAAGATATAGTGAAAAATGAAAACAAAATGTAAAACGAGACACAAAAAAGAAATGGAGAATAAAAAATGACAGAAATCCTTCAGAATATTGAAATCTCTAACACTGTGTGTATTTCAGCTGTGATACCAGTGTGCAATAATTATCATTTTGATGATGAATTTTATATTTGGTACCAAGACATAGTGTATGTGTTTGTTGAAAGGTCCTTGGGATGGGAGAAGAATGGCGAGGTGGAGATGTGAAGAATTATCCAGGAGGAGGGCATAAAATAAACATTCTAAAGAAGGAGACAGAACTTTACAAGAATGACAGTAATTTAGTTCTTATGTTTGTGGATAGGTGAGTCATTGCCGAAAATGTTTTTATTTGTAAATATCAGCAAACCAAAAATACTTCATGTAGCACTTAAGAAATCCTTCAATGTAGTTTGTTTGTTTACTATAGTTTTACTATGTTGCTTTTCACATTGAAAGTCAATTTGACTGTTGTTTTAACATTATTTTTTTTTATTATTTTCACAGTTATGATGTGATTTTACTTGCCAAACCTGAAGAATTCTTGAAGAAGTTTCTGGACTTTAAAGCTAACATGGTCTTTTCTGCCGAAGGATTCTGCTGGCCAGACAGATGGCTCAAAGTAATTTCTATTTTTTATAATCTTAGCAATGCACATACAATGCATGCACACTGCACATAGTGGTATCTCTCATTTTATTTCTTTGCTTGTCCTTTCATCCTCTTTTCCTTTCATCAAGTATATTGAAAATGTCATAGTGCCACCCTTCTCCACTTTGGTGATTCAAGCTTAAAAACCCAAAAAAACAAAATGAACATATGAAATGAAATGCTGGGCTCTTAACTGTGTTGCCCTTTTTCAGAAGTGCCTCATCCATCTTTTTCTCATTTTTTATTCTTTTTTTAATCCTGATTTCCCTCATCTTTCTTTCTCAGTTGTTCTTTACTTCTCCTCTTCTAATTGTCTTTTTCTCCCTCAATGTTGCTTTTATCTTTTCTGTCCATTTCCCTTTTGTTCTTTACTTCTCCTCTTCTTCTTTCCTTGTTCCCTCACTGTTACTGTTATCTTTTCTGTCCATTTCCCTTTTGTCCTTTACTTCTCTTCTTCTGTCCTTTTGTCCCTCACTGTTACTGTTATCTTTTCTGTCCATTTCCCTTTTGTTCTTTACTTCTCTTCTTCTTTCCTTGTTCCCTCACTGTTACTGTTATCTTTTCTGTCCATCTCCCTTTTGTTCTTTACTTCTCTTCTTCTGTCTTTTTGTCCCTCACTGTTACTGTTATCTTTTCTGTCCATCTCCCTTTTGTTCTTTACTTCTCTTCTTCTGTCCTTTTGTCCCTCACTGTTGCTGTTATCTTTTCTGTTCATGTCCGTTTTTTTCCCTTTTCATTACTCTCTCTCACTTTGACCTTGAATTCATCTGTAAACATCACATGTATTAGATATATATACAGTATATGTATTTTTTTTTTACATTAAGAGAAATATAACTATATGGAGTTGCTCTTTAATGGCGAGTGTGGCTTTTTTTTTTTTTTTTTTTTGTAGGACCAATACCCTGAGGTTATTCATGGAAAGAAATATCTTTGTTCGGGAGGTATAATAATACTGTTTTGAAGTCAGTTCTACTCCAATTTTACCAGATCTAGTGAATTCCTTTCCCTTGGAGGGGCAACTGTCCTCCTTTTAATAAGAATTCAATCAAAAACTTTTTGTGCAATTCTGTCTACAAGTACATGTACCATAAATCCATCTCCTACATATTATTGTACTTATCTAGAGAGAGAGAGAGAGAGAGATAGAGAGAGAGATACTTTATTGACCACCATTGCAGCCATAGGCTGAATTACGGGATATTTACAAATACTGATGTTTAATTACTCACATCCTTTGTTTACAGACCATATAATTATTTCAACCAGTTGTGTAATCAATAATCAATTGTGTGGTCTTGAGTTTCCTACCACAATTTACATGTAGCATATATTTTTGTATTATAGGTTTTATTGGCTATGCACCAATATTCCACCAGGTTGTAACTGATCATGTCATTGAGGATGTAGAAGATGATCAACTGTATTATACCAAGATATTTCTGGACAAGCAGAAAAGAGTGAGTGGATTTATTTCATTTTCTATACCAAGAAGGATGGCTGCTTGAATATTTGTTATAATCTTTACAGAGTTCAAATCTGGTATTATGAGGGAGGAGGTTACTCATACACCAACCTTTTAATATGGGATGCTCTAATTCATACTTACATAGAGATGATTTTCTTTTCATGTATTGTTACCTGAACTCTCTTACCGTCCACTGGTTAAAATGTAACAGACAATGCTGCATGGTGTGCTAATCAAGGCCAATTGAAATTCCCCAAGATGGATGCTATATTGCTGATTTAAAATTTTGTTTAATAGGAGGGAAACACCTATTAGAAGGAGGGTGCTTAACTGTGAGGGAGAGGGTGCTTATTTAAAAACTACGTGTACTAACCTGCACTGATTCTGCTGTAATTGAAGCTGAAAAAGATAAAAATAAAAGTGGTAATGGAAACAGGTTTTCATTTTATCCTTGTTATTAAACTGAGGGAGGAGGGGGAGGTGATTATTCAGGAGGGGCACTTGTTTGATATTGTGGCCCAAGGGGAGGGCGCTTTTTAGAGGGTGAGTACTAACACTAAGTATTAAAGGAAATACAGTAATTACTGACTCTGCTCCTCTAAGGGTGAGTGTTATCTTGTTTTGCAGGATCAGTTGAAACTGAGGCTAGATAATAAAGCAGAGATCTTCATGAATTTGAATGGAGCAGAAGGTGCACAATTATTTACTATAATTCTTGTTAATCTATGGTGCTTTAATTTATTTAATTTCACTTTTATTCTTTGAATGAATGTTGCACACAAAGTTTTTTCCTTTTTCGGTCAAGAACTCAAATACTATGATCATAAATCTCTGGAACAGTATATGAATATTTCATCTAGAAATAGTAATTAGAGGACCTTTGATATTCTAAAAAGTTTTGTTCTCAAGAAGTATTAGCAGGGGCTTTAACCCTTTAACTCCCAGAGGTGATTAACATGTTACTTCTTCCTATAATATTCGAACATTATCCACCAAATAGGTAATGAGAATACTCAAACTCATCAGGAAGGAAACATATAGCAGCTAGAGGGGAGAATTAACAATCAGATCTTGGGAGTCAAAGGGGGAAGACTCATTCCTCCAAGCTCTGTGGTGCCCAGCCCCCTAATTAAAAGCTTTTACAAAAATGGAGTTAGAACTTTACATGTACATGGATGCTAGTTGCCCATCTGGTGCACCTGGGCTCTGGAACTCAGGACTCCTTGGTTTGTCAAATCAGCATTAAAAATAATGTTCATTTGTCTTTACTTGTCAGAGGAAGTAGAAATCAAGTTCAGTGATGACAAGGCATGGTTGGTGAACAAGGAATATGGAACAGAACCACTGGTTGCCCATGGCAATGGTCCCAGTAAGGTACTTGCCAAACTTTTGTCTGATCAGCAGTTGAGGATAAAATACTCACTCTTATTTTGCCAATAAAGATCAACTAGCACAGACAAAAATTACTAAAAACACTTGCTTTCATATGGCTTTGGTACTGACATTCACTTTGGCTGATATTAAAAGACCAATATCACTACTCTTATGTCCCTCTTTAACTTATAACATATGGTGAAAGGTCAGGTACCAGTTATAAGACAGGTTTTACTGGTATACACCACATACATGTATAGTTAGTATGTATAGAGTCAGACTGAGTCATGAATTTTTTTTGTATTTCAGTTGTTTCTAAATTATCTAGATAACTACCTGCCTGATAAATGGAATTTCAAGGATGAATGCACTGCATGCTCTGAGGATAGAATATCTTTAGACAGTCTCAAGGTATGTTTACCTTGTTTAGCAGCCTTGAAAGCTTCCTAGATACTTGAATATATTGTGTGGAGTATTGCTTTTTCGTCTTCAAGCAACTACTGCAATCGTGCAAATTAAAGTACATGGTTACCTTGTAAATATTCCTTTCTCCTCCTTATTCTCCTCCCCCCCTTCATCCACACAAATAGTTTAAAAGTAAATTATTGTTATTCTGCTGCAAATACCATTGACCCCATCTGGCCAAATGTTAGAATACTCCCTTTATACATTTATTTTAAAATTTTTCTCTGTTTCGACATACATTGTACCAGTGCGTGATTTTCCATTAAGCATAAACCTGTAGATGGAATACCTACCATGTCACTGTAAATTGATGTGTATCATATATACATGTACTTTTATCACATGGCTCATGGAGCCCAACTCACCCACTCTTATAGAGAATCATAGTAAAAGGTGTAGTGTGGGGCCAGACAGGTTGATGTGAGTCAGCCTAGAAAAAGTTATCTGGTGATGCATTCATACAGGAAAAATCATTTTCAAAACAAGTTCCCTCTAGTAGCAATTGTGAGTTTCTTGTTCAGAGAAAAGGAGGTAAGGTTGTTTTTTTGTAGGATGTGTTTGTAGTTTTCCAGTGGTAATTTTGTAGGTAATCACTCCCTTTTTGGTTCAAACAAAACCTCAAAATTTTAATGACTTATCATGTAAGGCAGGAATAGCAAAGCAGACCAAAAAGCGTAGCGCACACAGCCAACTGGTTAAACAGGTCTTTTTTTATGGTACAAAATAACCATACAACATTGCAGGGTATTTGTACTCTATTTGTGCATTATCTGTACTGTACTTTGCGCAGTTGGATAATAAGTACATTTATTATCCATCTGCACTAAGAAGAATACAAATTGTGGGAATCACAATGGTTATTTAATTTTGTAGTGTAAAAAAACCTGTTTAACTAGTCAGCTGTGTGAGCTTCACTTTGCTATCTGCTTAGTTTTACCTACATTATAAGAAATGTGGCTAAAATATAGCACATACAATAAATAACTTGTTAGACATTTTGGTGAGTAGTGTTGCTGAGTATTTCTACTTGTGGTTTTTATTTTGACTCACCCTACAGGCTTGTAGAAAATACAGCACAACTTTTAAAAGTATTCACTAATATTACACACCAAAACGTCTAATAAGATATATCTACGTGTACATACATGTAATTTACCTTTCGGAAATAGTCTTACTCTAGTGACCTTTTGCCTCTAGTACTCATACTGAGCACGTACTTGCATGCTATTACTTCTAGGAAGAGGAGTATCCTAAAATCCTGATGGGCTTTTTTGTGGAGAAGCCAACACCTTTTATACCAGAATTTCTGAACAGAATGATGCAGCTAGAGTATCCCAAGAAACACATTGACCTATTTATTCACAATACAGTAAGTGAGATTTTGTGCTATTATTTGTTATTTTTCTGAAATTATTTATTTTAATTATTATTACTTTGATCCCTTCCCCCGACTGGATGGCCCAGTTTGGGGGAAGCAAGAAGGGTTATCATTTAAATTTATTATCCAAATCATCATCATCATCATCATCATAATCTAATTGTACATCTATTTTCTCCTTCTCCATTCTTGATAGTCATCTTTGTCATCATTGTCATCATTGTCATCATTGTCATCATTGTCACCATAAAAATTAGTGTCTCACTTGTTTGTTTCATTGTATATTTGATGTATTTGCTGCTAAGGTAACTGCAGGTAGTATTTCTGGTCATAAGTTATACTGGTCTTACTTTACATCTAGGTTCCATATCATAAGTCACAAATTGGAGAATGGCTTACAGACAAGATCAAAAAGCAGTTCAACTCGATTACTGTGCTGCAACCTGAAGATAAGGTGACTGAGTATCAAGCCAGGAATCATGCCATGTATGTGTTATTGCTTCCTTTTGCAAAGACAAAACAAAAACATATGTTGACTTCATGTTGCTGAAGAATATTAGCCCTTACACTCCCATGAGTGTCCCTCAGGAAGCATTTCTCCATACAGTATCAAAGTAGTACCTCATCAAGCAGAAAAGTGATAGGAATAAAAAAATATATCACTAAGGGAATTACTAGTTGATCCAATACAAATGTTTCAACATTGCATCATAAGAATTTTTATAGAAGATAGTAAGGAAAATTACTATTGAGATTTTGGGAGTCAAAGGTTGTAGTGATAGATAAAGGGATACATGTAAATGCTTACATTAGATTCTCTTAACTAACATTTTGGAAAGTGTTTGTCAACTGTTATAGAGAATTTTCACTTTAATCTCTTAGTTGAAATGTCTGATTACAAGTTTCCTGTAATTTTATTCAATCAGTGAGATGTGTGAGGAAAAGAAGTGTGACTACCTGTTCACAGTGGATGGCTCTGTTGTTCTTACTAACAAGAACACACTGAAGATTCTCATTGAGCAAAACCGGTCAGTTAAAAACATATGCTTATCTTTTTTCTTTTGCAACATCAACAAGGTCAAATAATTTAATAATCAAGCTAATTTGCCTTGCTTTGGTTATGTAATGCCTTAAATGTTGGTACGTACAGTCAACTCTCTCATAAGCAGACATCCTCAGGAATTGGCAAAAGTGTCTGTTAGTAGAACTGTCAACTACAAGAATTATTCTTATAAGTGAACACCAAAGAAAAATAGGGTGTACATGTACACGTCTGCTTATGGTAACTTTTGCTTCTTTTGCTCTGTCAAATGTCATTTTTTTATTTCCAGTTCAGTCAAATTTTATTGCCATTAGTTAATTTGCAAGCACTTTTTAATTCTTTACCAAGGTCCTAAAATTTGGAACTCTCCTCCTGTTTCAGTCACTGGTTTGTCAAATGTTCTGAGCTTTAAGAGGAAAATACAAGAGTCTTTACTTTTTAAATAACACTGACTTGGCCAACTTGCATCCATTTTAATTGAGCTATTTCATTTATTTCTAAGGCCTGTTTTAGCTCCCATTATCTCGAGACATGGCAAGCTATGGTCAAACTTTTGGGGTGCTCTGGGAAGTGATGGATTCTATGCCAGGTCACGTGACTACCTTGCAATTGTCCAGAGGCAAAGAAAGTAAGTGCAGTGTATCTCTTAAACTTTCACCCTTTCATTTCCTCTTCAGTATAATATCAATGGGAGATGTGGTGGCATAGTGGTTAGTAAGCTGAACTCTATGTGGAGAGGTCTGGTGTCAAGACCTGGCTGGGTTATTATAGTGTGTTCTTGGGAAAAACAATTTACTTTCACAGTGCTTCACCCCAACCCAGAGTATAAATAGGTATTGGCAAACTGTTAGGAAAGCCTGAAATGGTGGTGGGGTAACTTTGCAATGGACTGGCATCTCATCCAGGGGGGAGTAACACTTTCTGCTCTTGAAACCTGGGTGAGCTGCAGGAGCATGGACCATTTTGTTCAATTGATATTTACTTATTTCGCTGCAATATCAATACATCTCTCCAATCAGAAAGGTGATGAGACAAAATAAGGGGATAGGTTGTGATTGAACACAAAATTCTCAGCACTAAAATGATCAGAAGTTGTGGCAGGCAGAGCAGAGAATAGATAGTTAGATCTTTGGCGTGAAAAGCTTGAATAACATGAAATTAATGATAATATTTTTGGTAAGATCTTAATCTGTCCACTTTCTTATTTTAACTGGACCTAAGCCAATGCCCTTTTTTCACAGGGGTGTGTGGAATTCTGTCTTCATCTCAAGTGTGTTTTTAATCAAGAAAGAAGTCTTAAAGAAGATTCATGGAAGTTTTGGTCCTTCCCAGCTTGATCCAGATATGGCTATGAGCAAGTTTTTAAGGGATAATGTGAGTAAAACAGTAACGAGTCAGCAATTAGATGCTCACGATGTTACCAAGCTATAGTGCAGCACTGCAATATTATTTTCTTAACAGATAAAATTGTGTGTTAAGTAAGTAGAGTACATCTCTGAGACTGGGAAAGTCCATTTGATTGGTCACAAAAGTGAATGCTGTAGCTACAGATGGTATGCTCAAGCCAAACTGTTGATATTAATTTTATTTGTTTTTGAAAGTTCCAGTGCAGAGCTGAACACAATTAAATTTCTAATAAATATTAATTTAGTGTCGTGTTTCCTTTAGGGAATTTTCATGTATGCCACCAACCTACATGAATTTGGCCGCTTGTTAGAGACAGAGAACTACCGCACAGATCATCTGCACAACGACCTGTGGGAGTTGTTTGATAATAAACTGGTAAGCTCTCATTCAATTTTTTGTACTTCCAATTGGGGTTACTCCATCATAGAGGCTCTTTGAGGATCGGTGGCACTAAATGGTACGAATTTGAATTGCTCTATAATGGAAGTAGAACTTATGAACTTGTGCTATTTCCAACCCTTCAAACCTCAAGAGTGACGAGCGTCTAATTTCTCCTCACAATAATATTGCTGAACCATTCATTAAGATGATGAGAATTAAGGAAATGATCGCTAATCTGAGAGGCTTTGATTGTTAAACAAATTCTCCTTGTCAGTACCAAGCAAAATGTATAGAAAAGAGTATGGAGAATGTGGATACTGATGTCAGGGTGTAAAGGGTTAAACCATTAGTATGGTCTCAGAATAAAAATGCAGGACAAAAAGTTTAATTAAGGGCCTCGTTATGACATCCGTTTTATAATCATGCAAATTAAAATGCTTCCACTTCCAAAACTTATTACATACTTTCGCCAAATGTATACTTAAGTGAAATGAATTCAAAACGATCTTTGCCAAGAAACTTCTTTAAAAGTGATCGCTGTGGACATCTTTCGAATTTTTGGAACGCTTCGGAGTTTCTCGGGCGTCTTCAGAAATTATCTGGTCCTCCACATAAGTCTCATAGCGGTCTAACGTTTTTTACCGAAAAGAATTGAAAGTTTTGTCGTGTGCATGAGAAATACACACGACAAAACTTATTTTATTCCTGGTATAAGAGGTTAAGCGAAACAAGTATTTGATGAGACAAATTTGTTCTGATAACTTCTAGTGGTTACATTTGAAGGTGGTATGATATGATGTTGTGATTATGTGTTCCAGGACTGGGAAGAGAAATACATCCATCCAAACTATTCCCAAAACTCAAACCTCAGCATTGCCATTGAGGAGGTAAGAACGTTATTTATTATCCATGCAGAGTGTACTTATTGGTAACTGACTTTTCCCAGTCAGAAAGGTAACTCGGCGAACAAGCCAGACTCGCATATTATTGCTAGCATGTGGAAAGAAGCAGTAAGGAGTTCTTGTACCCTCCCTGGGTGGGATACTGGTCCATCGCAGCTCATCTCGTGAGCTATCCTTCCCCCTCCCCTAGGTGGAGAGTTTTGTCGTTCCCAAGGACACAATACCATAACCCAAACCAGGGCTTAACCCTTTAACTCCCAAGATCTGATTGTTAATTCTCCCTTCTAGCTGCTACACTGCTTAACTAGTCATGAGAATTTAGTGTTAGTTCAAGATAATAACTTCTACCTGACAAGTTTGAGTATTTTGAATACCTGTTTGCGGGATAATGTTGGATATTAAAGGGAGAAATTACATGTTCATCACCTCCGGGAGTTGAAGGGTTAATCTGGGTGCCCACCTTGTAGGCCACTTCATCTCTTGCCGTTATGAAGAAAGCACCTATCGAAGGAGCTATAGATGAATATAATGTAATTTCAGTCATATTGAAGTGAACAAGTATTGGCCCGCATACCAGGCTGGATTGCTTATGTACTAATGCAAGAGTTGCTGAGGACCATGGAATGTTTATGGAAACAAAATACGGAGTAGGCGTTCTGACTCAAAAGTTTACCGTGGCGATTAAGCGGTTTAGATAGGGAAGGGATGGGGAAAAGCTTACAGAGCTCCCCTACAACCAGTTTCGCTATTTGATTTCTCCACTAGTCGTTTTAGGTTAGTAGTAACAGCTCTTGGTAGTCAACCTTACTATGAGGATCTTTCTAATGAGACGACGGCCGAAAAAGTAGACTTTCTGTCGTACTTTTTTTTCTATTTTAACAGGAAGTGTCTTTTCACGGAAGGCAACACTTAGCATGTTTTTTTTTTATGATTGGGCGATCCCGTGTAGTTCTTACATTTCGAGAAAAACGTTTTTAAGTCATATTTAATTGAATGTTTTATCTTAGCCCTGTCCTGATGTGTACTGGTTTCCTCTTGTGTCGGATACGTTTGCCAAGCATCTCATTGAGGTAATGATAGTTAGGATGTAGAGAATATTTGTAGTAATAATAATAATAATAATAATAATAATAATAATAATAATAATAATAATAATAACAGTGATAATTTTAACAGTGGCTCATCGACTATGTATCCATCGCTAATGGCTTTTGACCTGTTCACTATTAAAAGTATATTTCAAAGTTGCTGTCTGTTTTCGATTGTTTATCTTTAAATTTATGAAACCGTTACTCGTAAATGATGAGTGAAACCATTTGTCTACTTTCAGTGTTAATTTTCCTATATTTGTTTCCTAGGAAATGGAATATTTTGGTGAATGGTCAGGTGGAAAACACGAGGTGATCACTTGCTGCCTGTCTCTTCGACAGTTCTCTGTACTAGACGTCAATTTGTCACAGATTTGTGACTGTCATTGTATTAAATGTTTTTTCTCTTTCATGTCACATTCTTCTTAGGACAAGCGACTGTCAGGAGGTTACGAAAATGTACCAACAGACGATATTCACATGAACCAGGCGCGTATCTCTCATTACTACTTTACGGTTTCATTCTCTTCATCAAGGAGGTGGCGTGGCCGAGTGGTTAGGGTGCTAGACTTGTAATCTGGTGGTCCCGGGTTCGAGCCCGCCACCCTACCATGTATTTGATTTGTTCTCGGTCACCTCCAGTTGAACTCATCAGCTGTGCTGTGTAAATAGCCAACTGGTCTGCCTCCTGCCAGTTGGGATTAATTTTTTTTAGCACTTTATGTTGGTTTCAGTCATCGTAAAGTGCTATTGGATACCGATAGAAATAGCGATATATCAGTAAAGTATTATTATTATTATTATTATTATTATTATTATTATTATCATTATTATTATCAAGCAAGATAGTAATCTAATAATCTTTGCCATTTCTCTGGCCTGGCTCTTTTCAGGGTCTGTTGGCGTATTGAAAGCTCTGCAAACCCCCCCTTGAAATAGAGGTTCCATTGTTCTTGCAATAGCAAGAAATAGGCAGAGTCGACATAAAACCGACGATGAGCTCGGGAAACTGAAAAAAAAATCGAGTAGCATGATAAGGAGCCATAGTTCACCGATGCTGGATGCTGGGAATGCAACCCTTGTCATTCGCGGTTAAAGTGAGGCCGCAATAACATCTTTTTCAGCAATCCACCTGCATTGTTATTTTAACGTCCATAAATCAAGGGGATTTTATCCCGCCTTCATTTGTATTACTTATATTGTCTTTTTTTTGTCTGCAGATTGGCTACGAGAGACATTGGCTTCACTTCCTCAAGGAATACATTGTACCCGTGAATGGAAGACTTTATCCAGGGTACCACTCTGAGGTAAGAAATTATGGCAACCCCTAGACACTCTAACATCAGCATGCTTGTTCTCTATGCTATTTCTTAAGGTAATGGCGATCATTTCCCTTATTCTCGTTAGCTTAATGTTTGATTCAGCGATGATACTTTAAAGAGAAATTAGATGGTAGTCACTCTTAGAAGTTATAGGGTTTGATACGCGTAGAGTAGAAAACGAGTTTTGTGAGGTCTCGGTGAGCAAATGTGTCACGCCATGGAATTGATTTTGACATTACAGTAAAGCTTGCACAACAGAGTTGATTTGATGACTGAAAGCCAGTTTTTGATTCGCTCGACAGTTGGTACTTCCCGAAGTCTTGTCGAACACAGTGCGTATCGGCCAGAAAAACGTCGACTTGCTCCCCACTTCATACAGTGTAACTTAAACATTTTTATTCTGTCTTTCAGGCTCGTTCTATCATGAACTTTGTGGTAAAATACGATCCAAACAGGCAGTATTATCTTAGACCGCATCACGACGCTTCTACATACACAATCAACATCGCCCTAACAAGGCCAGGAAAAGACCATGGGGTGAGAATTATCAATTTTCGTTGGTCAGTAACCCTGAGAGATCTCATACTGATAAATTACCTCACACTGTGTCGCCAATTTTAAAATAACACTATCCATCTTGAATTTCTGAGGATATCCGGGATTACATTGGATTTGCTTCCTTGTATCCTGTGATTGGCACGAAAAACTTGCACCACTCTCTCTTAACCAATCAAAAACAAAACTAAAACCATTTGCGTCTAAATCACTCACGTTCTTCTGCGCTTCAAGCTGTGTACATGTTTTAAAGTTTACTTTTTATTGGTTCCTTGAAATATTTTCCTAGGGATATTTTCTACGAGTGTTCGTTTTGGTTCCAAACGTGGTGACTCGTTTTTCATCAATCAAGCAGTTAGCGCATGAACGCAGAAATAAGGCAACTCAAACCATTTCCGAATTTTTAACAGCAACCTACGCAATATTAAATTCTGTGGCTACTTATAATGTCATAGTTTGGTCGTCATGCTAAGGTCTATTTTTTCATTTACAGGGCGGGGGATGCAGATTTTTGCGCTATAACTGCCAAGTGACAGATACCCGTAGAGGCTGGTCGTTTATGCACCCGGGAAGACTCACTCATTACCATGAGGGGCTGCCTGTAACATGGGGGAAGCGATATATTATGATATCATTTATTGACCCTTGAATAGACGAAATGATTCTTTAATATCAGAGTTATAAATCCTATTTCAGTATGAGGTCTAAGACGCCAAATAACAAAGTTATTTTTGAGCAAATTCTATTTTCTTTCCCTTGAATGCCTTTTCAAGAGACTATTTTCATACCACGATGTCAAGTGTTTTGTTTTGCAATTTTTTTAGCAATAAATGCGCTGTGAAAAGTTGTGATTTCCAGTTTAAAAAGTTAAATGTTCTGGTGCTAAAAGTTAACCAGTCTTCTTACTGTCGCGAAAGAATTCGCAGTTCTCCTTACCACTTCAAATGTTGCTTCGTTATTTAGTTAACCCTTTACACCTTAACATCAGTATCCATATTCTCCATACTCTTCTCTGTTTTTCGTTTGGTGCTGACAAGGAGAAATTGTTTAACGATCAAAGTTCTTAGGTTGGCGATCACTTCCCTTATTCTCATGATCTTAAATGAATGATTCAGCAGCACTACTGAAAGTAGAGATTAGATGCTAGTCACACAGGGCTCGATTGGTTAAAGAGTATGCTTTATAAAGCTGGTATAAATTTGGATCCTCGCGAATCATTCGCATTACATTGACCGCCTCTTGAGGTTCTTTAGAGTGATAATTTTATTCACGCTGTCAGTGATCTTCTTCACCTAGGAATACCTCACAAATACACGAGTAACATTAAACTGTAAGGGTAGCGGAAGAGCACTCGAGGTATGGCTGACATCTCATCACACGGAGAAATGATTCTCAATTGCTTCGTGCAGCATCACACAGTTAACCTGACAGGCGGAAGAACTGTTTTACCGTGTTTTTTACTTCTTTTCTTAGCTCTCTCATCTTCCAGCAGTACAGGAATGGGTTTAGAGTCGAGTTAAAGTACATCAGAGATATCGTCAGAGCCCAGGCGAAAATAATTGACGGTGTGTGCAATCCAGCTGTCATATAAACAGAGATGAAACCAAAAGGGAGATAACAAGCCAGTAACGCCATTTGTACCCACAATGCTGTGGACACTGTCTTTTTGTATCGTGCTCTGTTTAGCAGAATTCCTTCCCCATTCGGTTGTTCAGGATAAACTTGGCCTTGAACGAGTGTTTGAGAAAGACGGAGTGTGCGATAAATTTTGTTGTAGCAGAAAGTAGAGATTACAATGCACAACACAAGTGCTGCACAAGCGATGCTTAAAGCGAGACGATGACTGTAAAACGCTACCATTGCAACTAAAGTGCTGAAAAGCCAAAGGGCAATAATAAGGACTTTCACTCTCCACGCAGTTACCATCTGTCTGTATCTTAACCCCAGCAACAGAGCAAGAAGTCTGTCTACGCTTATTGCGGTCATTGTTAACAAAGATACACCAGCAAACACAAAACCGGTGGTATTGAAAAGGATCCAAAAGGCGTCACAACCAAACCAGCGCTCTGGAGAAAGAAAAAGACCATTAAGAAGAGGATCAGAAATAAGGCCCACCCCCAAATCGGTGCACGCCAAGCAGCCGAGCAAAAGTTTCGACGGTGGATGAAGAGAGGATACCTTTCGAAGAGCAATGATGATCAAAATATTTCCCAAAATTGCAGTGATGGATAGAGGAACTGTCAACGTCAAAGACAATATCTTATGACTGGCCGCTGCTCCAAGACCAGAAGTACAGATCATTTGCTTTGTTGCCACATATTTTCTATCTTCTGTTAAATTCTCCATTGCTTCAGTGTGATTTTTTCCTTTTACTTTTTTTTGTTGTTTTAAGCCGAGAAGGATCAGTTCACAGCAGTCGCCTCAACGTGATAATCATTAAAATGATTCTTCAAACTATCCCGCTGAAGTTTGTAAAATGTTAAAATCTAAATGCAATTATCTAAAGCTCCTCATTTCGACTTTGACTTACGATCATGCCAAAAGTTGTGGAAAACCGTTTTTTTCAAAGACAAGTTCCATTTGAACTCTTCCAACTAAAAAACACGTCTCTATAGGAAAATCTCTCACGTGGAAATCCTGCGGCAACTTACCTCATGAAGTTGTTTATCATCGCATCAGGAACTTACATAGAACAGCGACAGTACAGTCAACATTTCAAGTACGTGACGAGGCGAAAGGCTTAAGGGAGAAAAACAATTTTGCACGTGCGTTTCAAACTTTGAACTTTCCGTTGCTGTCGAATGAAAATCACCAAATACCAGAGCATTTTAAATATTCTATTTTTCAAGGGCTAAGTAATCAATGATCCCGGGGTACCTTTTGAAATTAAGAGGTCGCTGGAAAGAACAAGCAATTCACTTTATTCCGAGTGATAAAGAAATACGTAAGACAACTTTCGCCACAGGAAATGACTTAATATTGGCTTTTCGTGCCCCTTTTTCCTGATGCACCCAGTAATGTGTTGTTGGTAGATCTTAGAATCTTAAACGCACGATTTTTGCAGATAGTGTCGGTGAACATTAATTTCGAATCAAGTCATTGATTAAATGTCCTCGTAAATATTAATTATGTGACGGAATTGTAAATGATTGCAATCGAGAGTGTGACAGATTTCATAACAATGGTACATTTACAAAGTCCACATTTGATTTACTGTAATAGAGATGTAATTGCACGCGTTTAGTCCGCCTAATAAGGAAGGAGAAACGTGCTTTTGGGTAATAAGAATTAAATATAGACGCTTTACAATAGGTTGGCTTGGGAATTTACTGCACTCGTGATTGTAGGGAAAGTACTAGCTGGTAGTTACGCAAGGCGAACTATGAAAGACCGTAACAGATATAGTTTAAGTTAAATTTGGGAGAACGTTAACTTTGAACTGTTACAACAAGAGAATTGGTAGAATGAATTGTCTTAACGTCGGCGGAGTTCGTCGAGAATAAAACTTGGAAAAGAAGTTAGTATACAGTCCTTTTCGATTGATATCGAGTTAACCAGCGACTGCGGAGTCCGTATAGATTCCGCGACAGATCTAGTTTTTGCGTTCAAAAGTAAATAAGAATGAGCTACTACAATACAGTACCCGTTTCCTCAAAAGAGCCGCTCAGTCAACTAACCAAAATGAATGGCAAAATTGAGACCGACAAGGCGCCCTGGCTAGCCTGGTGTTTCGTGCGAATTTTTAATAAGATATCGCCAATAAGTTGGTGAAATCGAATTTTTTTAGTTGATTTGGCCCTGTATTAAAAGCATTTGACAATTATATTCTGCTGTCATAAAATGGCAACAAGACGCGTTGTCACTCTTGATAGTTAGTAAATAAAACTGAAGCTAGAGAAAGATTTCTCAACACAACGCTTTTGTTTTCTGTTTTGGTATAGTGGTAAAGCGAGTTCGATTATGGAACACTCTGGAACTTTCTTGACATTTTGCAAAGTGATGTAATAATGATATAATCGTAACAATACCAGGGTGCACAGACGATACACTTTGTAGGGCTGATAATGAACTTAAATTGTGGCAACTATGAAGTTGAGAAGAATAGCTATGAGGAAGTGTTCTTGATCAAGAGCCGCCCTGAAAGTCAACAACGAACTGTAATGCGATCGCTCAATAATGCTACTTATGTTGCACGATGTCGCTCCAACTGAATTTCCATTCGATACATTTGCACGTTAGCCTCATTTCGCGTGGCGCGTGGCACGCTGGGAACGCAGAGGGTAAGGGCCAAAGGGAGGGGTGAAAGTGTTGACGCGTGACTGACACTTTCTCGTTCCAATCACCCTCCGTGTTATCATGCCGCACGTGCCGACCTAAGCACTCTGAAGACCATCGGGAACGACTCTGCATAGCAATTTTTTTAAACTTCTCTCTTGTGGTATGGGTCACATTTAAGAGACGCGCCGGTAATTTGGAAAATTATCTCCATTGCCAATTAAAAACGCTTAAAGGATACGCGCGGGTAACATTTTTTCCCATGCAAATGCTTTGTGTGTGCAACACGCATCCATCGGAGAAGATGACGTAGATGAGACAAAAATACGATAGTGTTCTTCTGTAACTATTTAATAATCTCCAAAAGTGTACACTTGTTCTCCAAAAGAGATTTTTGTATGTTTTGGTCGGCTCGCCTCGTCATCTTTCATCAGAGTATCTAAGAACAGGAAGCCTGAACAGTTCTTGCACGTGTAAAACATGTAGTTGGTTTAACTAATGGTTGCTGTTTGCTTACATATTATGTAAATAGATTTGTCGGTATTTTTCATCATAAATGTTAGCTTAACAAGCTTAACTCTGCTTTTGTGCAAGGTCACGGTCCAACTTATTTAGGCTGTCATTACAATGACCACATATTAATCATATCTTAAATCTGCTTTCGATTTCAGTAAACATCGCTGCTTGTTAATCAGAACATAGACAGTTTAACCTATAATAGAGACTTCTGGTAATAACCCTTAACAAGTATCTGATCCAGGAGGCACGAGTTGGTACTCTGTCCAGGCCATTACTCTTCAGGTACTTTGTCTAGATTTGTTCGACTGCTATTCAAGTGTGAGGATCATTTGTGCTATCTACTCTAACGCTTAATTTGATATCCACCAGATTTTTCTGATAACGTTCTTCATTTCTTGTCTTAATTCTCTCATTTTCCAGCAGTATAGTAATGGATTTAAAGTCGAGTTAAAGTACAAAAGCGTTATACTGAGAAGCCAAGCGAAGACAATCGACGGCGTGCGCGATGCGGTAATTACAAAAAGTGAGATTAATCCAAACGGTACGTAACAAGCCAGTAATGTTATTTGAACCCACAGTGCTGTGGACACTGTCTTTTTGTATCGCTCTTTGTTCAGTGGAGTTCCTTCTTCATTCGGTTGTCCTTGGTGACTTAGCTCTTGGACTTGTACTTGAGAAAGACGAAGTGTGCGATAAATTTTGGTGTAACAGAAAGTGGAGATTACTATACACATTACAAATCCTGCAGAGGAAATACCTAAAGCCATGCGTCGATTGCCGTAAATTACCATCATTACGACAGAGGAATACAAAATCCAAAGAGCAACGATGGAAATTTTTACTCGCCTCACAGTTACAACTTGCCTGTATCTTAGCCCTAGCAACAGAGCGAGAAGTCTGTCGACACTTATTGCAGTCATCGTTGACAAAGATACATAACTAAACACAAAACTCGTATTAAGAACGATCAAAACCCCGGAATAACTACTCGGGCGCTCTGACTGAAATAAGAGAACACAAAAAAGAGGATGCGCAATAAGACCGACGCTCAAATCTGTGAATGCAAGGCAGGCGAGCAAAAGTTTTGACGGCGGGTGAAGAGAAGACACTTTGTAAAGGGCAACGATGATCAGAACATTTCCTACAACTGCACTGATGGACAGAGGAATACCAAGCATCAACACAATTATCTTATGAGCTAATGTAAGCCCTGAAACGCCCGAAAATTCTTGGTTTGTAAATGTGGGTTTTCATCCTCAGTTGCATTCGCCATTCTTTATTTCAGTCGAGCGTATCGGTTTTGCTCGTCACGCCGCAAGTTGTCGGCACACAAGAAGAATTACGTCTCAGCAGTCACCTTCTTTGGCTTCAGTTGAGACAAATGTCATTCAGTGCAGATGTGAATGTCTCCTGAAGATTAAAAAGTACTTTTTCATTATAGAGAAAAGTTGTAAAATGGACTAACGAATGGCAATTCTGTTAAAGATAACGTCAGTCATCCTTAACTATGGCGAGTATTTGCCAGTCACTTATAAAAAACGTTATAGCGAATATTCTGGGTTTTTTTTTATTTTTGGAAAAACTGTCCAAATCGATCACTCTGCATTTGCTTGGCGCTTAGTGATTTTTAAAAAATCACTAAAAGTTTAGGTGTAAGTTACACAAGCTTTTTATTGTTGAACTAGTGATAAAAAGCCACACACTAACAATTGACCTAAAGTTGCAAGCTTTTGATTTTCGTCTCTCGCATTTCATAAAGGGAAAATTATATGCAGCTAGAAAAGCCATTGCTCCGTTCTGACACATACGAGACGATAACGTGAATGAAAAGGGATATATTTGATATATACATATATATCGATAAATATATTTTATACTTATAGGAGAACGAATTAATCTCCATCTTATCATGATTTATCTTCGATGCGGTTTCCTAACGGCTTTATCAAAACACCAACGCACAGGAAGCTTGCAAAGTCTCATTTTCGACGCTGAAATTTTTTGCATGAGTGATCTTTGACATCCAGTAATTGTTCTCTAACTGATTAATCAGCGAGAAATACAGTTATTTATTAGGAACGAATTCACTGGTGTTGAAACCTTGCGAATACTAACCTTACATGTATTGCTGAAAACAGCCTTCCCTAATCTTGTCCCTGTAGGGAGAACTGGTTTTAACACAAAAAAATCAGTCAGTCTCCCTTCAGATGCTATGATAAATGCGAGCACTTTAACTCTTGCGTGCAGTTGTGAGAGAAATGAAAAACTTATGTTGAATTAGTTAAAACTGTTGGCTGAGACAACTTCCAAATTCTATCAAAGGTAATGTGAGTGCTTTTCAACCATGCAGCTGCATTCTTACCTCTGTTAGAAAATTCGTCATTTAATCAAAGAGAGCGTTTGCAATTAAGGCTCGCTGAGACCTAAAAAAACAAATAACCTTAGCCTAAGCCCATAATTCGGTCGTTGCGGATTAACCTTCGATAGAAGAAATTAAAAAATATCTTCTCCTGTGTTTCTTTATTCCAGAAGACGCGTGTCCTAGGATGATGCATATAAGGCCTTTTCGAATTCGCGGCCTCCTTCAGCGGTCTGTAATATTTTATACAGACCTCTGTGGCGAACCCAAGCGAGGTTAAGCTATAATTTCATTTCATTTGAAACTTAAGATGAAAAAAAGACAGAACGCAGACAATACTCCTGCGGTGCTACTATTGCGCCTAAGAAAATTGTTGGCGTTTGTAATCCCGTGGTTATGAGACCTGAGACTAAACTGAATGGGAGATAAAAGAGCAATATCCAAAACTGTACAGGCTAGTGTTAAGAGTCGAATTAAAGCTGTCTGCGCCCAGAGGAAGAAAACTGTTTTTGTAATCCCGTGGTTACCTAGGACTAAACTGTGGGAGATAACTGTGGACACAGTCTTTCCGTTGTCCTTGGTGATCTTGGTCTTGCTCTTGTGCCTGCTGAGAAGGGCGAAGAGTGAGGTATATTTTGGTGAGGCAGAAAGTTGTGGTTACTATGTACGATAAAAGTGCAACAGAGATTATGCCTAAAGCAATACGTTGGATATAAAATGCTACAAAACGCTTCGACAGAAATGCTGAAAAGAAGTGCAGTGACTTGACTTTTTCCTCATCCAATGTGAAAAAACGAAAGTCAAAGCTTGCACATCCAAAACAATTGATCTCTTTAGCTTGTATGTTTCGTTTACCCATTTCAGGTCTCAGGGCAATTCCCAGCTTGATCTTTTGTAAACTATGTGCGTACATGTGCACGTGAATGAGAGGAAATTTGAACCAAACATAAAAGAAAACTTTTTTTCGAAGGGAAGTGGAGAGGACCGCTCCAGGCGAGAGAGGCACTTAATACAGGTTTCGCGCTTATGCATGCGAAGTTTCCTTGACCAGTTGACCCATAACACCCCAACATCAGCATGTATATTCTACATACATTTCCTATGCACAGAAGTAACGAGGAAACTTAGTCGCGGACAACATCAAGAGCTTTTCAAGTTTGAGATCTTTTGTTAAATTCTCATGAGCCTTATGGTTAATTCAGCAGTGAAAACTTAGTGAGAAATAGATGCTAGATACCCTAAAGGGTTGAAGGGTTATTACCATTACCATCGGTTGTGTTGAGTTTTACATATCTAGATAAGTTAAACAATGTATTTGTCGGATATTAGCTTCGAGGAAGCTGTATTCCTTTGAACCTCTCTATCTCTCCCTTTCTCTTTCTAAATGTTTGGCTTCTTTTTAACTTTTCTTTGCAACATTCAACCAACCTAGCCTTTGTTTTTAAAAATAATTGTAAACTTTTGGGACGCCACTTAAGTCAATAACATTTTGTGCTTTTTCAAATGAGATATTGCATGCTTTACCACGGCAAATTTTCCCGCTAAATCAGATGAAAAAACAATTTATTTTTCCTCAAGTCTCAATGTTTCCTGAGACAAAGCTAGTTGAAAGAAACATCGAGACTTTCAGACGAAAAAAGAGGCAAAAATTGTATCCGATCCCGTCAAAGCCAGACAGTGAGTGTACAATGATATCAGAAAACATTGTGCAACGGAAAGCAATATATTCGCTGCATAAATAAGTCTCTCCTCTGTTGGTTATGTTTGCCGTGTTTTTCGTGAGCAATCGGCTTTCAGTCGGTTGTGACAATCAAAAAACAGGGCGTTCAAAACTTGAACTTAAGCTTGAAGCGGCTTAGCAGTTTAGTTTGTTTTTGTAGATGATTAGAGGAAGCTGGTTTTTATTGGGACGGCGAAACATCACTAGGGGGTGAAGTGAACAGTATGTATTCTATATGCTTTGGTATCTTAATACAAAGACAAAAATCTTTACAGGGATTGATATGAAGCACATACTGGGTTATCCAGATAAGGTTGCGTGTTAAGAATAGCCTTTTCATTCTTTTTATATTTCTAAGTGTATACAATCACTTTATGGTAATGATTGCCTCTTTCGGCTTTATTTCAAGACTTTAAGAACAGTTTATCGTCGATTAAACCAAAGCGTGCTTGCTTTTTGCTTATGAAACCGGTGCTTTATCACTGGTCAATCATAAGTTGTTTGAGTGATTGTTAAAAGTTCCATTTCAGTCGTGTTTATCGCAGACAAACCGTCATTTGGAAGTCATAGTAAATCAGCTGAAAGGAAACTTATTACATAAAAAAAAGAAAAAATGATCCGGGTTTTTTGATACGTTCACGCTGGGCTTTTTCGAAAATTTTTTTCTTTGTTAACACTTTATTCAGTTTGAATATCTCTTTTTTTAATTAGTAATAATGTACATTAAAAAATTACGCGCGTCTGATTGGCTGAAAACGAGTGCATTTTTCATGTAATACCAGTGCAAAATTGTAACACTAGTGCATACTACAAATAGCGCGCGCGCTGCCAAAGTTTCGCCGGTCTTGACTTTCTGTGATGCGTTTTACGGGCTCGTGCGATGTGGTTGTCTTTGAGAAATTTACTCGTGCTTATTAACACCAAATTGCACTCGAAATCACGTTGTTACTTAACTTATATTTGAATTAATTCCGATAGATGTTATTTGTATCTTTGTTGTTGTTTCTCGCATTTTTCCACCTCTTTGCCTGAATTTCCATTTCTTGTTCTCGTCAAAAGAACTCTTCCGGTGATGTCCTCAAACTAATTAGAACATTTTGTCTGTATTTTAAAAGCATCGCTTAGTGTTCGATTCAGTTTATATCTCTCACCTATTTTTTCCAGTGACATGGGTACAAGTGATGGATAACTGTTGTATTTGACTCGGTTGGGTCAAGCCTCTCGACTGACGTTTTAACTAACGGAGGAATCATTATATCTTCTTTAAGTCACGATACCCTTAAGTTGCTTCGTGCTGCGATAAACAAAACTTTTTAATCGTGTCCTTTACTGCTTGCCTTAATTCTCTTATCCTCCAGCAATACAGCAATGGGTTCAGAGTTGAATAGGTATACATCAGATCCGTTGCTAGAGCCAAAGAAAACCAAAGGAATGGTGTACTCAATCCAGTGATAGTAATAAAACCTAAAAATAAACCAAATGGGAGATGACAAGCCAGAAATAGTACTTGAACCCAAAGTGCTGTGGACACTGTCTTTTTGTATCGCACTCTGTTCATTTGAATTCCTTCTTGATTTGGTTGTCCTTCGTGACCTTGGTCTTGCACTTGTGCTTGAGAAAGACGATGTTTGTAGTAAATTCTGATGTAGCAAAATGAAGAGGTTACTGCGCAAGATAAAAATGCTGCAAAGGCTATGCTATGACTCATTACATCTTATTGAAGTCACGGTACTCTTAAGTTGCTTCGTGCTGCGATAAACAACAAAACTTTTTAATCGTGTCCTTTACTGCTTGCCTTAATTCTCTCATCCTCCAGCAATACAGCAATGGGTTCAGAGTTGAATAGGTAGACATCAGATCCGTTGCTAGAGCCAAAGAAAACCAAAGGAATGGTGTATTCAATCCAGTGATGGTAATAAAACCTAAAAATAAACCAAATGGGAGATGACAAGCCAGAAATAGTACTTGAACCCAAAGTGCTGCAGTCACTGTCTTTTTGTATCGCACTCTGTTCAGTTGAATTCCTTCTTGATTTGGTTGTCCTTCGTGACATTGGTCTTGCACTTGTGCTTGAGAAAGACGAAGTTTGTAGTAAATTCTGATGTAGCAAAATGAAGAGGTTACTGCGCAAGATAAAAATGCTGCAAAGGCTATGCGAAAAGCAAGATGTAGACTATATAATGCTACCATTGCCACAGAAGCGCTTAAAAGCCAGTGAAAAATAGTAAGGAATTTTACTCGCCTCACAGTTACCACCTGCCTGTATCTAAGCCCAAGCAATAAAGCAAGAAGTCTGTCCACACTAATTGCAGTCGTTGTTGCCAAAGATACACCCCTAAACGCAAAAAGCGCGATAATAAAAAGGATCCAAAAGGTGTAACAAAAAATAGAATTCTTTGGGGAGAAAGAAAATGCACTAAAAAGAGGATGGCAGATGAGGTTCATTACCAAATCTGTGTACGCAAGGCAACTGAGAAGAAACTTCGATGGCGGATGAAGAGAACAAACCTTTTGAAGAGCAACGATGATCAGAACATTTCCTGAAACTGCACTGATGAAAAGAGGAATGCTCAAAATTGATAGTATTATATTATGTGTCTCCTTAAGACCTATACCGCAGGAATATTTATGGTTGATGATTGTATAGTTTCCATCTTCTGTTGAACTCGCCATTATTTCCGTCAAGCGTGTCACTTAAGCTTGTTATCCACGTTGTCTTCACATGCGTAAGGTTTAGGTCACTGATGTATCAACTGATGTATCGCTTCTTTGGTTCAAATTTGAATTCCTCCTAATGATTGAAAGGTAATGTTTTTAAATTCAATTTTATCGCGCGATAAATGAGATTAACTGTCGCGCGAGAAAGGTATTGCCAACCCCGTTAAGAAAGAACTTTCCAACTGTTGCAGCCATTGTCGTCTCCTCCACGGAAACAACGTGCGTGACAGCCGATCACGTGAGACCTAACAAGTTTCCCATTTATCGCGCGATATTTTGATTTCATCACGCGATAAATGAGATTTATTACACCCATTTTGAAATCACTGGTGGTCCCTGTAATATGATTAGCTCTAACTGGTGCGATTTATTCACGAATCCCACCGTTTTTTGCTTTAAATCGCGTCTTTTTCCCAGCCAATGAGGAGGCTACACTAAAAACAAAACAACCGATCAGATTTCGAGGCTTGTTTAAAGTAGTCGATCAAATTGCAGGAAAATGTGAGACAAAGAGTATTATGTGGCAAATTCTGCAACTTTTGTTTCCAAAACTGTTCTTTTTCCCCCAAAAAAATAGTTGAGTTTGATTTCAAACCAGCTCAGTACTGCTTCAATAAAATATTTGAACTGACCAAGTCCTGTATTTGAGCTATATTTCATAATGGATGTAATAATGGATGTAAAGTGGTAATCGAACCTTTTGTCGTGCAATTTCGGTCTAAAATCATACTTGTGATTTCAAATCGAACTCGCGCTGCGTGCTCGTTCAATTTTGAAATCATGCATATGATTTAAGCCCAAATTGCACTCCACTCAGTTCAATTACCATTATTTATCGCGTGATACAATTGATTTTAAAAAGTGGATAGCTTGTCCTCTATGGGCCACCGCAGTAAACCCTTATCGAAAGAAAAACATTTTCAGGCGTTGAAAAAAAAAAAAAATATATATATATATATGGGAGGGAGGGGGGGCAGAAACTGCAGCCTATACGTATTAAAAACGAATATTTATGTATATAAATATATAAATATATAATGTATATTATATACATAATTTTAATGTTTTTTTTTTAATACGAATAGGCTGCAATTTCTGCCTACCCCATATATATATATATCCTTTCTCATTTTAGGCTTTCTCTTCTCTCTAAACACATTAAAATTATATACATAATTTTTTTTTAATACGAATAGGCTGCAATTTCTGCCTACCCCATATATATATATATCCTTTCTCATTTTAGGCTTTCTCTTTCTCTCTCTAAACACATTAAAATTATATACATAATTTTTTTTTAATACGAATAGGCTGCAATTTCTGCCTACCCCATATATATATATATCCTTTCTCATTTTAGGCTTTCTCTTTCTCTCTCTAAACACATTAAAATTATATACATAATTTTTTTTTGATACCAATAGGCTGCAACTTCTCCCCCAAGAGAAAGCCTAAAATGAGAAAGGAGCGATTTCGAGAAGAATTAGTCAGCTTTTACGTGGCAAAAAGGAAAAAAAATGTTTCTTGATACATTTCTAAACCGATATAAAAGGTGTTTTATAGCTCTGTCCAGTCTTTCATTATAGATGTTTTAAAACTGTTCGGACCTAAGCAAGTCAGCGTGCAAATTCTAAATTGTTTCAGAGGTAGAGGATTTTAAAATTTCCATATTTGTAGAAAGAATTATATTTAATAAAACGAAGAAAGTTTCCAGATCGAAAACATATTAGATCCTCTCGTTAAAGATTTCGCTGATAAAGTGATTTCAAATCTGAACAAATTCATGCACACACGAGGGAAAACATCGCTAGGTGATTCTTCGTCAAAATGTTCCCTTCGCGAATTTATCAGAACACTACCGAAGGAAAAAGAAAAAGGAATGAAAAACCTTCATAGTTTTATACTTAATTTGAATGAGAAGCTCGGTAATCTAGTTAGCCAATGATCGCTTTTGACTGAATAAGGAACGACGTACCTGATATTGGAGTATTTCGAATTCTATGCTGGTCTTTTAACGCGGATAAACAGGAAGATTAAGCAGTTTGCTTTTCTTTGATCTTTGCCTCTACTGTTTGTTGGTTATTAGAGTGCTCATACAAAACAAGAGGATGAAACAGTCGGTTCTCGCAGCTGACTATTATGTGTGTGTAGAAAGTGGATTCTTTTGATTGAAAATTTGCTTTTGATTGCTAATTTGATCAAAGGTAATTTGAATGTTACTCAGCACCCCGGACCAAATGTAAGTTGCTGTTTTGAAATTCTTAAAACATCGCCAGGTGTTTTGACATCGTCAATTATTCTTTTCGTGAGTAGTACCACACACACACAACCAAAAAAAACCTTTTTTTAGTCTCTAATTAAATTGGTGAAAAGTTCTCTTGAGTAATCTGTATAATCAAGCTATCGTTTTTGACACGGGAACTACGAACCTGATATAAGAATGACTTAAACTCCATGCTGGTGCTGTAGCCGCTTCAGTTTTATAAGGATACTCTGCTAGATAAAAACCGTTTTCGCCTCTGCCTATTATGTATGTCTCGAATGTGACTGATTAGGTTAGATGCCTTTGATTGGACGATTCAGTTCTTTGTGAAAACTTGAAAGAGGAATCATGGGTAATTTAAATGTTACATACAGCAAAGTCTTATTTGTTTATTGCCATATTGAGATTCTTTAATCAATTATTTAAGAGTGTTTCAAAGGCGTTTTTCACCTTTAGCAACCACAGGTAAGCTACGCCCGATACGCGGGTATTATTAGCTCTTAGAAATAAGACGATCTTTTAAAAACGGAGGAAAATTGATTGAAACATGTTAATGAAACTATATCAAAGTATCAAACGCTATATTTCTGACAGTCTCGATACATCGCCAGGCCCTTCGCGTATCATCGTTGGCAATGGGCAACACATGACAACAGGTAACTAAGTATCGGTCCTTTCTCCGGTGCCACAGGGTTTTTTTTCTTATTTCAGTGGCATAACAACTGTCCTCGTTTTGCAATCAAGGCACTAATTACAGTCTTTTCACATTGCTGAAAAAGACTAAAACTTAAGATTTTCGGTATTTTTTTCAGTATTCATCCACCGCCGCGAACATGGAATAAGTAATAAGTTCAGAATGGAACTGTGTTTCTTGATTCTCTCGGAAGCCGTAGTATAGTATGTGTATTTACAATGTATGTCTTTAATTTTCCACAATCCAAAAAACACAGGCAAGTGATAGGTAACTAAATAGCAGTCAATAAACTATGTTTTCTGGAGTCCACAACCCTATTCCAACTGAGTTTTCATTCGTTACACTTACAAGTGAGCTTAATTTGCGCGAGGCACGCAAGTTATGGCGAATATTCTGGTCCTTTTTCGGAAAAACTGTCTAAATAGATCACTCTGCTTTTGCTTGACGCTCAATCAGTGAGTAATTGATCTGGAGTTGCAAGCTTTTGCTTTTCGTCTCTCGCATTTTATGGGGAAAAAATGATAACTATATGCAACTAGAAAAGCTATTGCTTCGTTCTTACACATACGAGACGAGAACGAGAATAAAAAGGGATATAACTGATATATGTGCTAAAAGACGAAATAATTTCCATCTTATTTTTATCTTCAATGCGGTTTCCTAACGGTTTTATCAAAACAACAATACAGGAAACTTGCAGTCTCATTTTCGATACTGAAATTTTTTGTTTGTGTAATCTTTTACATCAAGCAATTGTTGTCTAACTGATTAATCAATGAGAAATACAGTTATTTACAAGGAACGAATTCACTCGTGTTGAACCTTTGTGGATACTAACTTTACATGTATTGATTAAAATGCACATTTGTCAAAGGCCTTTCCTAATCTTGTCCTTGTAGAGATAACTAGTTTTAACACAAAAAAGTCAGTCAGTCTACGGTCAGATGCTATCATAAAAGCGTGCACTTTGACTCTTTCGTGCAGCTGTGAGGGAAATTAAAAACTTACGTGTAATTAGTTAAAACTGTTGTCTAAGACAACTTCCAAATTCTATCAGGGGTGAATGCTTCTTAACCATGCGGCCGCATTCTTCTCTCTGTTAAACAATTCTTTCTTTATTTAATTAAAAAGAGCATTTGCAATTAGGGCATGCGAAACCTCAAAAATACAAATAACCTTGGCGTAGGACCATTATTCGGCCGTTGCGGGCTAAGCCTTCACCGGCGTTTCTTTATTCCGGGAGACGCGTGTCCTTGGATGATAAGTTCGGCGAGAATTTTAATCAAAGAAACTTTCTCTTTGCGCCAATGCTTACCGCGTTGAATGAATTAATACTGTTTCTAGAAGTTGTTTATTTTAATTCTAGTAGCTTCCGCAAGACTCTTGCTCTGGGATAATGAACGAAGAGTAGTAAGAGAGTTGTAACGATATTTGTGGCTTCATAGTTAGTAAATGCGTACCTAAGACTGCTTAGATTGACATGAACACCAGAAACAATGAAAGCACAACGGAGAACAGGAGCAGACGACCCAAGCGAGGTTAAGCTATAATTTAATTTCATTTGATTTGACAAAAAGAAAGGTCACCTTTCCAAAGAAATCTAAGATGAAAAGATGAAAGAACACAGACAATACTCCTGTGGTGCTACTATTACGCTCCCTCCCCCTCCCCGCGCTGTTTTTTGCCTCATAAAAATGACTTATATCAGGGATCGCGACAGTTTTTCTCTTAGAAGAAGCTTAGAACTTAATAACTTTGGTCAAATCTCATGTTAAGCTGATTTATGAATGATTTTGTGGGTATTAAAACTCAACCGAATAGATATCTTCTTTCAATTACCAATGTAATATTGTGTTAAAAGAAAATTTTATTTAACTTTCGGGACGCCATTCATATCGAGAATATTTTGTGCTCTTTCAAATGAGATATTGAATTCCCAAGCGCTGCAAATTTTTCAGTAAAAATTAGATAAAAACGTAAGTACTGTCAATGTCTGCTACCCGAGTAACAATTTGACTTTTCCTCGTCTCATGCAATGTTTCCTGAGACAGAACTAGTTGAGGGAAATGTTGATGGTCTCTCCTCTGATGATTATGTTTGCCGTGTTTTTCGTTTGCAACCGGCTTTCAGTCGGTTGTAATAGTCGAAAAAAAGGGCGTTCAAAAAGCGGCTCATCAGTTTAGTTTGCTTTTACTGCTAGATGACCAGAGGAAGCTGGCTCTTACTGAGATGGCGGGACATCGCAGTGAACAGTATGTATTCTAAGTACTTTGGTACTTTGATACAATGAATATTCTTTTTATGTTTCTAAGTGTATATATACAATGAATCACTTTATGGTAATAATTGCCTCTCTCGGCTTTATTTCATTACGTTAAGAACAGTTTGTCGTCGATGAAACCAAAGCTTGCTTGTATTTCGCTTCTGAAACCGGTGCTTTCCCACTGGTCAATCGGTAGTTGTTTGAGTGATTTCAGTCGTGTTTATCGCAGACAAACTGTCATTTGGAAGTCATCGTAAATCAGCTAAAAAGTAAACTTATGGGCTTTTCATTGAGCTGAATCCTTCAAATGTTTTACAAAACTTCAGCTACTTGCCCTTATTTCATCGTATCCCAGCATTGACATTACGTTCTACGAACACGCACCGAATACTGTCACCAAAAGAATGGAGATTATGATTCACTTTATGAGGACATAATGAGATCACTGTAATGGTGCCACTATCCTTGGCGGAATGCATGAGTGCTGTTGAATTGAGATTAACTAAACGGACGCAGTTTTAGATAAATAGCAAAAATTAGGAAAAACTTTTGTTCAGATTTTTCCGTTATCGTTAAACCCTACAAGAACAGCTGAAACGCGAGTGCCGAAAGCCGAATAACGATTGTATTTGATTCGGTTAGGTCAAGCCTCTCGACTGACGTTTCAACTAACGGTGGACTCATTACATCTTATTGAAGTCACGGTACTCTTAAGTTGCTTCGTGCTGCGATAAACAACAAAACTTTTTAATCGTGTCCTTTACTGCTTGCCTTAATTCTCTCATCCTCCAGCAATACAGCAATGGGTTCAGAGTTGAGTAGGAATACATGAGACTCGTTGCTAGAGCCAAAGCAAACCAAAGGAATGGTGTACTCAATCCAGTGATAGTAATAAAACCTAACAATAAACCAAATGGGAGGTGACAAGCCAGAAATAGAACTTGAACCCAAAGTGCTGTGAACACTGTCTTTTTGTATCGCACTCTGTTCATTTGAATTCCTTCTTGATTTGGTTGTCCTTGGTGACATTGGTCTTGCACTTGTGCTTGAGAAAGACGAAGTGTGTAGTAAATTTTGATGTAGCAAAATGAAGAGGTTATTGCGCAACATAAACCAGTCCTGCTGCAAAGGCCATGCGTGAAGCAAGACGTGAACCATAGAATGTTACTATTGCTGCAGAAGCGCTTATAAGCCAGAGAAAAAAAGTAAGGAATTTTACTCGCCTCACAGTTAGCACCTGCCTGTATCTCAGCCCAAGTAATAGAGCGAGAAGTCTGTCCACACTAATTGCAGTCGTTGTCGACAAAGAGGCACCCCTAAACGCAAAAGCTGCGATAGTATAAAGGATCCAAAGGGTGTAACAAACAACCGATTTCTCTGGGGAGAAAGAAATAGCAGCAAAAAGAGGATGGCAGATGAGGTTCATTACCAAATCCGTAAACGAAAGGCAACTGAGCAGAAGTTTCGATAGCGGATGAAGGGAAGAAACCTTTCGAAGAGCAACAATGATCAGAATATTTCCTAAAACTGCACTGATGAAAAGAGGAATGCCCAAAATTGAGATTATCATCTTATGAGTCTCCTCAAGACCCATACTGCAAGAATATTCCTGGTTTGCAACTGTATGGTTTCCATCTTCCCTTGAACTCGCCATTATTTCAGTTAATTGCAAGCGTGTCGCTTCAGCTCGTTGTCCACGTTGTCTTCACATGAGACGGGTTTAGGTCTTAGCAGTCAACTGATATATCGCTTCTTTGGTTCAAATTTCCCCCCTAATGATTAAAAAGTAATGTTTTTTTAAAAAGAATATAGGTTCAAATGGAGTAAAAAATAGTAATTAACCAAAGCGCAGATTCTGTATTTATTTCTATTTTCTTTTTTGGCCATCCAGTGATCTAATTAGATCATGATTGCTCTCCGTGGTATTCTATCAGTGATGCATAAATATGTATCTTGCTCTATGGCTTACTGATGCTAATTCCACACAACTTTGTCCTTCCTAGTCGGCTTGATAAAAGCCCGCATGGCTGGATCATGCTCTTAAATTCGTAGTGCGCGTTGTGGATTGGTAAACCCTTATCGAAAGAAAAACATTTTCAAGCGATAGATTACCATGTCAATTGAACTTTCTTGCTTCCAAATGCAACCCGCTGTTGGTCCTTTTGCTAGTCTTAAAATGTTTTTTTCATGTCTACATACATAATTTTATTCTGTTTTTTAATACAAATAAGTTGCAATTTCTTCCCCCCCAAGAGAAAGCCTAAAATGAGAAAGGAACGAGCTCAAGAAGAACCAATCAGCTTTTAGGCGGCAAAAAGGAAGAAAAAGTGTTTTCCGATACTTTTCTAAACCTATATAAAAGGTAACCTACTCGAAAGTGACCAGCGTGTTTATTCTGAATTGTTTTAGAGGTACAGGACTTTCATTTTCAAATTTCCATATTAAATGAAACGAAGAAAGCTTATAGACCGAAAACATATTAGACCTTCTCGTTAAAGATTTGATAAAGTGATTTCAAATCTGAACAAATTCAAGCACACCCTAGGGAAAACATCGCCAGCTAATTCTTCGTCAAAATGTTTCTTCGCGAACTTATCTGAGCCGCTAAAGGAAAAAGAAAAAGGAATGAAAAACCTACGTAGTTTTATACTTACATTGAATGAGAAGCTGGGTAATCTAGTTAATCAATGATCACTTTTGACTGAATAAGGAACTACTTACCTGATATTGGAGTATTTCGAATTCTACGCTGGTCTTGTAACGCGGATAAATAGGAAGATTAAGCAGTTTGCTTTTCTTTGATCTTTGTCTCTACTGTTTGTTGGTTATTGGAGTGCTCATTCACACAAAGGGATGAAACAGTCGGTTCTCCCAGCTGACTATTATGTGTGTGTTGAAAATGGATGCTTTTAATTGAAAATTTGCTTTTGATTGCTAATTTGATCAAAGGTAATTTGAATGTTACTCAGCACCCCGGACCAAATGTAAGTTGCTGTTTTGAAATTCTTAAAACATCGCCAGGTGTTTTGACGTCGTCAATTATTCTTTTCGTAAGTAGTGCCACACACACAACCAAAAAAGAAAACCTTTTTAGTCTCTAGTTTAAATTGATGAAAAGTTCTCTTGAGTAATCTGTATAATCAAGCTATCGTTTTTGACACTGGAACTACGTATCTGATATAAGAATGACTTAAACTCCATGCTGGTGCTGTAGCCGCTTCAGTTTTATTAGAATACGCTGTAAGATTAAACCGTGCTCGCCTCCACCTATTGCGTATGTCACAAATGTGACTAATTAGGTTAGATGCCCTTGATTGGACGATTCAGTTCTTTGTGAAAACTTGAAAGTGGAATCATGGGTAATTTGAATGTTACCTACAGTAAAGTTTCATTTGTTTATTGCCATATTGAGGTTTTTTGATCAATTATTAAGAGTGTTTCGAAGGCGTTTTGCACCTTTAGCAATAATCTAACCACAGCTTAAAACGGAGGAAAATTGATTGAAACATGTTAATGAAACTATATTATAGTATCAAACGCTATATTTCTAACATTCATTTCGCGCGTGGTACGGGGACATAGAGGGTATGGAAGGAGTAAAGATGTTGACGCCTGACTGGCGCTTTCTCGTTCCAATCACCCTCCGTGTTATCATGCCCCACTTGCCGACTTAACGCATTGTGAAGACCATCGGGAACGACTCTACGATCACAAGTTTAGCAATTTTTTTAAACTTCTCTCTTGTGGTATGGGTCACATTTAAGAGACGCGCCGGTAATTTGTAAAATTATCTCCATTACCAAGTGAAAACGATTAAAGGATACGCGCGGGTAACATTTTTTCCTTTGTGTGTGCAACATACATCTATATGAGAATACGACGCAGATGAGACAAAAATACGATAGTGTTCTTCTCTAATTATTTAATTATCTCCAAAAGTGTACACTTGTACTCCAAAAAAGATTTTTGTATGGTTTGGCCGGGTAGCCACGTTATTTGTCATCAGAGTACGTCTAAGAACAGGAAGCCTAAACAGTTCTTGTAAGTATAAACATGTAGCTGGTTTAACTAATGTGTTGCTGTTTGCATACATATTATGTAAATAGATTTGTGGGTATTTTCATTATAAATGTTAGCTTAACAAGCTTAACTCTGCTTTTGTGAATGGTCACGGTCCAACTTGTTTAGGCTGCCATTACAATGACTACATATTAATCATATCTTAAATCTGCTTTCGATTTCAATAACCATCGCTGCTTGTTAATCAGAACATGGACAGTTTAACCTATATTAGAGACTTCTGGTAATAACGCCTAACAAATATCTGATTTAGGAGGCGCGATCGAGTTGGTACTTTGTCTAGATTTGTTCGACTGCTATTCAAGTGTGAGGCTCATTTGTGTTATGTACTCTAACGCTTAAGTCAGATATGCACCAGATTTTTCTGATAACGTTCTTCATTTCTTGTCTTAGTTCTCTCATTTTCCAGCAGTATAGTAATGGATTTAGAGTCGAGTTAAAGTACAAAAGCGTTATACTAAGAAGCCAGGCGAAGAAAATCGACGGCGTGCGTAATGTGGTATTTACAAAGACTGAGACTAATCCAAAAGGAACATAACAAGCCAGTAATGTTATTTGAACCCACAGTGCTGTGGACACTGTCTTTTTGTATCGCTCTTTGTTCAGTGGAGTTCCTTCTTCATTCTGTTGTCCTTGGTGACTTTGGTCTTGGACTTGTACTTGAGAAAGACGAAGTGTGCGATAAATTTTGGTGTAACAGAAAGTGGAGATTACTATACACATTACAAATCCTGCAGAGAAAATACCAGAAGCCATGCGTCGATTGCCGTAAATCACCATCATTACGACAAAGGAACACAAAATCCAAAGAGCAACGATGGAAATTTTTACTCGCCTCACAGTTACAACTTGCCTGTATCTTAGCCCTAGCAACAGAGCGAGAAGTCTGTCGACACTTATTGCAGTCATCGTTGACAAAGATACAGCGCTAAACAAAATACTCGTATTAAGAACGATCAAAAACCTGGAACAACTACTCGGGCGCTTTGGAGGAAATAAGAGACCACAAAAAAGAGGATGCGCAATAAGACCGACGTTCAAATCTGTGAATGCAAGGCAGGCGAGCAAAAGTTTTGACGGCGGGTGAAGAGAAGACACTTTGTGAAGGACAACGATGATCAGAACATTTCCGACAACTGCACTGATGGACAGAGGAATACCAAACATTAGCAAAATTATTCTATGAGCTAATGTAACACCTGAAACGCACGAAAATTCTTGGTTTACAAATGTAGGGCTTTCATCTTCAGTTGAATTCGCCATTAATTATGTCAGTCGAGCGTATCGGTTTTGCTTGTCCCGCCGGCAATGGTCGTGACACAAGAAGAGTTATGTCTCTGTAGTCACCTTCTTTGGCTTCAGTTGAGACAAATGTCATTCGGTGCAGATATGAATGTCTCCTGAAGATTAAAAAGTACTTTTTCATTATGGAGAAAAGTTGTAAAATGGACTAACGAATGGCAATTCTGTTGAAGATAACGTCAGTCATCCTTAACCATGCTCAATCTTTGCCAGTCACTTATTAAAAACGGTATGGCGAATATTATGGCCTTTTTTTCGGAAAAACTGTCCAAATCGATCACTCTGCTTTTGCTCGGCGCTCAGTCAGTGATTTCAAAATTTAGGTGTAAGTTACACAAGCTTTTTATTGTTGAAGGCGATAAAAAGCCACACACTCAATTTATCTGAAGTTGCAAGCTTTTGCTTTTCGTCTTTCGCATTTTATGGGGAAAAAATGTTAACTATACCCAACTAGAAAGGTCATTGCTTCGTTCTTACACATACGAGACGATAAAATGAATAAAAAGGGACATAATTGATATATGCGCTAGAAGAACGAAATGATTTCCAGCTTATATTTATCTTCAACGCGGTTTCCTAACGGTTTTATCAAAACAACAACACAGGAAACTTGTAAAATCTCATTTTCGACACTGAAATTTTTTGTTTGTGTAATCTTTGACATCAAGCAATTGTTGTCTAACTGATTAATCAGTGAGAAATACAGTTATTTACTGGGAACGAATTCACTCGTGTTGAAACTTTGCAGATACTAACCTTACATGTATGGATTAAAATGCACATTTGTCACAGGCCTTTCCTAATCTTGTCCTTGTAGAGATAACTGGTTTTAACACAAAAGAAGTCAGTCAGCCTACAGTCAGATGCTATGATAAAAGCGAGCAATTAGACTCTTGCGTGCGGCTGTGAGAGAAATTAAAAACTTACGTTAAATTAGTTAAAACTGTTGTCTGAGACAACTTCCAAATTCTATCAAGGGTAATATGAATGCTTCTTAACCATACGGCGGTATTATTCTCTCTGTTAAACAATGCTTCATCTAATTAAAGAGAGCGTTTGCAATTAGGGCATGCGAAACCTTAAAAAAAAAACAAATAACTTTGGAGTAAGACCATTATTCGGCCGTTGCAGGCTAACCTTCGATAGAAGAAATTAAAAGATATCTTCTCCATATAAAGCCTTTTCATGGTCTTCTTGGGTGGTCTATAATATTCTATACAGACCTCTGTGGCGGTAAGACAAACCTATTTAGTTTTAAATTAATAATTAAAAAGGTTTCATAGCGAAAATCGATATTAAACTTAAGCTCGGCGGGAATTTTAATTAAAAAAACCTTTTCTTTGCCGCGTTGAATGAATTAATGCTGTTTCTAACAATTGTTTCTTTTGTTTTTAGCCCATATGCAAGACTCTTGTTCTGTGATAAAAGAGTTGTAACGATATTTGTCGCTTTATAGTCAGTAAATACTACCTAGAATTACCTAGATTGACATGAACACCGGAACCGAATGAAACACATAGGAGAACAAGGAGCAGACGACCCAAGCGAGGTTAAGCTATAATTTAATTTCATTTGATTTGATCAAAAAGAAAGGTCACCTTTCCAAAGAAACCTAAGATAAAAAGATGAAAGAACACAAACAATACTCCTATAAATGCTACTAAGGCGACCCCACCCCCTGCAAAGTAAGGTTGAGGCCCCAAAGTAAGGCGGCCCCACAAGGAGCAGACGACCCAAGCGAGGTTAAGCTATAATTTAATTTCATTTGATTTTATCAAAAAGAAAGGCCACCTTTAAAAAGACATCTAAGATAAAAAGATGAAAGAACACAAACAATACTCTTCCTGTAAATGCTACTAGGAAGACCCCACCCCCTGCAAAGTAAGGTTCCTTTAAAGAAGCTTGTACTAATAACAAGGGGCCTAAACAGTTCTCACGAGTTTCAAACACGTGTTCAGTGAAAATGACAAACCATCAAAGCTGGTTTTCCTCAATGGAACAGTTTCGAAATGTATTATTTTAACGAAATTGTGTGTTGTTTTCATTATTTCACTGAAATTCAATTTTGTCTTCATCAACACAGTGGTTGTTTGGTTCAACTTATTTCGCGCAATGCTCGCCAGTAGTCATCGTGAGAGCTTGTTTCCCACAAAGTAATTGTTGTGTATTCATTAAGTGGGTCATTCAGGGAAAACTCACTCTTCCTTTGCCTTCTATATTCTGTCTTCAATCAACAATCCTCTGTCCATCAACCAAGCACGATAATCTTACAGTACTTTCATATCATCCAGTAGTCATACAGTAATACCACTAAATAAATGCTACCTTTTTGTAACTATCTAGTACTCAGGACGATTTACGGTCAAGTCGCCCGAAAGTCATCTCGCCCGAAGTCATGTTACCCGAAACCAGAGTCATGTCGCCCGAAATTCATGGTCATGTCGCCCGAGATCCTAAGTCATGTCGCCCGAAATCGAGTGTTTAAACTTGAAGAAAAGTAACATCTTAAGTAAATCTCAAGGAATAAACTCGTAAAATTTTGACTCGTGAAACTCAGGTTGTTCGTTTCGCTGTCGTTTGATATCACGGAGATAATAATCTTAAAATCAAGCCGCAAGAGAACATGCAACGCACAACCAATCTATTCTTCCTCTGATTATTGCCAAACGGTAGGTGGCTTGATCGATACCAGTCCCGCAGATATGATGCTGCCAAAAGCCGCAATCGTCGCACTGAGTGGCGTGATCGAAATTCATTTCCGCACTCGATACAGGGATGAAAGCTCATTGTATAATTCTTTTGCGTACGCGTAACGATCTCGTGTTTCAGCTAGCTGATTATCTCGGAATGAGGTGGCTGTTATTAATTTACCCTCTTTATATATGGTTAACCGGAACAAAATTTGCATGCGACCGGCCGAGGAAACAAGGAACAACTGAACAAGTCGTGATAATTTATGCCGCGTCTGATAAGGGGAATGATGCTAACACGCTTTGTTCGCGTGGTTAACAATAAACAAAAAAAACTGTTGTAAAAGTTTCAGGTTGTTTTTTATACGATAAATCAAACTAAGAGAACTTGATGTATTTTTCTGATATGTGTGAAAATTCCGATAACTGAAAGTGTTCCGCTTATAATTACTAGAATCTGTACTGTAGAATGAGTAGTTTAGTTCATAGCAACGAACAACGCTGAAATGAACAGCGATATTTGAGTCTTTGTTTAACTTGATATTCGCATAGGTTAGCGGACGAAAACATTTTACAAGTCAACATTTTACGAGTTTATTCCTTGCGATTGTTCCTTTTCTTCAAGATTAAACACTCGTTAAAATTTCGGACGATATGACTTAGGATTTCGGGCGACATGACTTAGGATTTCGGGCGACATGACTATGAATTTCGGGCGACATGACTCTGGTTTCAGGCGACATGACTTCGGGCGAGATGACTTTCGGGCGACTTGACCGGTTACCCTCAGGACACTACAGTGATCATTTTGTGTGCCACGTGCAAAAATCTAATGTGTATCTCAATTTCTGACGCCGGTGCCTTGACCTTAGAGCAAGATCTTCATTCTTTTTCCCCTCTCAAATGCTAAATTATGATTGATATCGACGTATACATGTACCATGTTCTTTATGAAACATATTCCAGTTAATTCTCTTTTCCAATAGGTCTCGAAATAAAATACCAACTTTTCGCCGCCTGTTCTGTCGATTGTCGCTATCAAAGCGCGTTACCGTCTTTTGATCAGAACATCGACAGTCTACTCACTTGTAATACAAACGTTTGCTGATGGCGTCCAACTTCTACCTGATATCAGGCGGCGAGGGTTTAAAATCTGTCTAAGTCCGATTTCTTTTGGCTTCTATGTCTGCAATCTAGTCAAATGCATGCACTTCAAGTGTAAAGATCATTCCCGTTATGAATCTTATTTTAAACGCTTAATTTGACAGTAAGCATATTTCCTGAAAGAGCCCTTCACTGCTTGTTTTATATCTCTCATCTTCAAACTGTACAGGCCAGAATGGGTTAAGAGTCGAATTAAAGCTGTCAGAGCCAGAGGAAGAAAATTGTTGGCGTTTGTAATCCCGTGGTTATGAGACCTAAGACTAAACTGAGTGGGAGATAACAGGCCAATAGTGTCATTTGTACCCGCAGTGCTGTAAACAGTATTTCACTGTACCTTGCTTTGTTCAGTTGATTGCCTTCTCCATTCCGTTGTCCTTGGTGATCTTGGTCTTGCTCTTGTGCCTGCTGAGAAGGGCGAAGAGTGAGGTATATTTTGGTGAGGCAGAAAGTTGTGGTTACTATGTACGATAAAAGTGCAACAGAGATTATGCCTAAAGCAATACGTTGGATATAAAATGCTACAAAACGCTGCGACAGAAATGCTGAAAAGAAGTGCAGTGACTTGACTTTTTCGTCATCCAATGTGAAAAAACGAAAGTCAAAGCTTGCACATCCAAAACAATTGACCCCTTTAGCTTGTATATTTCGTTTACCAATTCAGGTCTCAAGGCAATTCCCAGCTTGATTTTTTGTAAACTATGCGTACATGTGCACGTGAATAAGAGGAAATTTGAACCATCTTTTTTCGAAGGGATGTCGAGAGGACCGCTCCAGGCGGGAGCGGCACTTAATACAGGTTTCGTGCTATAATGCATCTAAGGTTTCCTTGACCGGTTGACCCATAACACTCTAAAATCGGCATTTATATTCTCCATGCTGGTCTCTATACATTTCCTATGCACAGCAGTGACGAGGGAAATGTCGATAAGATCAATAGCTTTTTAAGTTTGCGATCTTTTGTTAAATTCTCATGAGCCTTATGGTTAGATTTAGCGGTGATACCTCAGAGAGAAATAGATGCTAGATATCCTATAGGGTTGAAGGGTTATTACGATTACTATCGCTTGTGTTGAGTTTTACATAACCAGATCAGATAAGTTAACAATATTGGCCTCGAGGAAGCTGTATTACTTTGAAAGCGCTCTATCTCTCCCTCTCTTGCGCGGGAGATTGCGTTACACCCGGTCTGCACCAAATTTGGTCGACAGGAAGTGAAGTTGACCAATCATTACGCCAATCTGAGTCAGGACAGTTGTGAGCAAATGTGTGCGGACCAAATTGATGTTGAGGGCTTTTCGCGGTCTTTCCTGGAAGTGAATGTACCCAAGCAATTTGTGAGCTTGTAAACATGGTTTTCAAGGTTTCCCCAAGCTATTTAGAGAGTAATTTAGGTTCCTAACGCGAAATTATAGGCGGAATGATTGAGGTAAGCGGAACCTTTCTTGGAATATTAGCACGTTCTCTTGATAATGGACGAATGTAAATAATATTTACATTGCTGTGTTTTGCTTCATAAAATGGCTTATATCAGGGATCGTGACAGTTTTTCTCTTAGAAGAAGCTTAGATCTCAATAACTTTGGTCAAATCTCATGTTAAGCTGATTTGTGAGTGATTTTGTGGGTATTAAAACCCAACCGAATAGAGTATCTTCTTTCAATTGCCAATGTAATATTTTGTTAAAAGAAAATTTTTTTTAACTTTCGGTAAACCATTCATATCGAGAGTATTTTGTGCTCTTTCAAATGAGATATTGAATTCCCAAGCGCTGCAAATTATTTAGTAAAAATTAGATAAAAACGTAAATACTGTCAATGTCTGCTACCCGAGTAACAATTTGACTTTTCCTCGTCTCATGCAATGTTTCCTGAGACAGAGCTAGTTGAAGGAAACGTTGACGGTCTCTCCTCTGATGATTATGTTTGCCGTGTTTTTCGTTTGCAATAACCCACGGAAAAAAAAGGGAAAGGTTCTGCCTTTAGATGACAACAGCCCAAATAGGACTATTTCAAAACATAGGCACGCTATGCATGCAAGAGTTACTTTTTTGTAGGGTGGGTGGATTACTTGAAACATTGTGAGTGATGTCTACATTCTTACAAAAGAAGAGAAGAATATTAATGTGGGAAAGAACGAAAATGTCGAATTACCTCACCCACAGGTATTTTGTGGTAGATTATGTGTGTTTTGCGAATAAATGGTGCCTTTGACACTACGAAACAGTGCAGTACAATTAGTTAGAAAACACACTAACCAACCAAGAGGGGGGGGCATGCTCCTGAAAAAATTCCAAACTTTGTGAGTTGTGACAGCTGTCTGGGACATAATTGAGCAACTCTTTGTAGCCATGCATTGATGGTAGAATCATTTTAAAAACAAACATTTCTGTCTCCATTCCCAATTCATGTAGCTGGCACAAAATGATTTGACAGCCTGTGGGTTTCCACCACCTACCATCTTTTAATGACAACCCTGTAGATCTACTCAGTATGATATATTGTAACCTTGTGTCTAATTTTGTCTGAAACACATGATCGAGATGACCTCAGATGAGGTTCATTACCAAATCCGTACGTACCAAATCCGAAGGCAACTGAGCAGAAGTTTCGATGGCGGATGAAGGGAAGAAACCTTTCGAAGAGCAACGATGATCAGAATATTTCCTAAAACAGCACTGATGAAAAGAGGAATGTTCAAAATTGAGAGTATTATCGCATGAGACTCCTTAAGACCTGTAACGCAGAAATATTCTTGGTTTGTGATTGTATGGTTTCCATCTTTCGTTGAACTCGCCATTGTTTCAGTCAATTGCAAGCGTGTCGCTTCAGCTCGTTGTCCACGTTGTCTTCACATGAGTCGGGTTTAGGTCTTAGCATTTAACTGATATATCGCTTCTTTGGTTCAAATTTCCCCCCTAATGATTAAAAAGTAATGTTTTTTTAAAAAGAATATTGGTTCAAATGGAGTAAAAAATAGTAATTAACCAAAGCGCAGATTCTGCATTTATTTTTATTTTCTTTTTTGGTCATCCAGTGATCTAATAAGATCATTGGCGCTCTTAAATTTCAAGTGTGCGTTGTGGATTGGTAAACCCTTATCGAAAGAAAAACCTTTTCAAGCAATGGATTCTCATGTCAGTTGAACTTTCTTGCTTTTAAATGCAACCCACAGAGTCCTTTTGGTCCTTTTTCTAGTCTCAAAATGTTTATATATATATATATATATATATATATCTATATACATAATTTTAATGTGTTTTTAAATAAGCTGCAATTTCTCCCCCAAGAGAAAGCCTACAATGAGAAAGCAGCGAGTTCGAGAAGAATCAATCAGCTTTTACGTGGCAAAAAGGAAGAAAAAGTGTTTTCCGATACTTTTCTAAACCGATATAAAAGGTAACCTACTCGAAAGTGACTGGCGTGTTTATTCTAAATTGTTTTTGAGGTACAGGACTTTCATTTTCAAATTTCCATATTTGTGAGAAGAATGATATTTTAGGACACGAAGAAAGTTTCTAGATCGAAAACATATAAGATCCTCTCGTTAAAGATTTGACAACGTGATTTCAAATCTGAACAAATTCATGCACACACGAGTGAAAACATCGCCAGGTGATTCTTCGTCAAAATGTTCCCTTCGCGAATTTATCAGAACACTACCAAAGGAAAAAGAAAAAGGAATGAAAAACCTTCATAGTTTTATACTTAATTTGAATGAGAAGCTCGGTAATCTAGCTAATCAATGATCGCTTTTGGCTGAATAAGGAACGACGTACCTGATATTGGAGTATTTCGAACTCTATGCCGGTCTTGTAACACAGATAAACAGGAAGATTAAGCAGTTTGCTTTTCTTTGATCTTTTTCTCTACTGTTTGTTGGTTATTAGAGTGCTCATACAAACAAGGAGATGAAACAGTCCGTTCTCGCAGCTGGCTATTATGTATATGTGGAAAGTGGATTCTTTTGATTGAAAATTTGCTTTTGATTGCTAATTTGATCAAAGGTTATTTGAATGTTACTCAGCACCCCTCACCAAATGTAAGTTGTTGTTTTGAAATTCTTAAAACATCGCCAGGTGTGCCATCGTCAATAATTATTTTCGTGAGTAGTGCCACACACAAACAAACAAACAAAAAAAACCTTTCTAGTCTCCAGTTTAAATTGATGAAAAGTTCTCTTGAGTAATTTATGTAATCAAGCTATCGTATTGACAAAGGAACTACGTACCTGACCTAAGAATGACTTAAACTCTATGCTGGTGCTGTAGCCGCTTCAGTTTTACAAGAATGCTCTGTAAAATTAAAACCGTTCTCGCCTCTGCCTATTCCGTATGTGACTGATTAGGGTTAGATGCCCTCGATTGGACGATTCAATTCTTTGTGAAAACTTGAAATTGGAATCATGGGTAATTTGAATGTTACCTACAGTTAAGTCTCATTTGTTTATTGCCATATTGAGGTTTTTTGATCAATTATTTAAGAATGTTTCAAAAGCGTTTTGCACCTTTAGCAATAATCTAACCACAAGTAGTACGGGTACCATTTGCCCTTAGAAAACAGGTAACGAATTATCGGTCCTTTCTCTGGTGCCACGGGTTTTTCTTTTTCTTTTCCTTTTTTTCTTTTTTTTTTTTTTTCATTATTTCAATAGCATGACAACTGTCTTCGTTTTGCAATCAAGGCACTAATCACAGCCTTTTCACATTTCTGAAAAGGACTAAAACTTAAGATTTTCGGTTTTTCAGTTATCACCCACCGCCGCGAACACGGAATAAGTAATAAGTTCAGAATGGAACCTTGTTTCTTGATTCTTTCAGAAGCCGTAGTATAGCATGTGTATTTACAGTGTATGTGTTTTTCACAATCCAAAAAACACAGGCAAGTGATAGGTAACAAGACAGCAGTCAATAAACTGTGTTTTCCGGAGTCCACAACCCTACTCATGATGAGTTCCACTTTTTATAAGGCTCGACAATCGACGGAAATGAGACGTGCGCACGAGTACAACTTGATTGTCCGAGAAACCAACAAAAGAGCCGGTATGTTTAACATCTCGTCGAGAAGTGATACTCCAGGTTCGCTTCGTGAGACATAATAAGCAACAAAACTTTCTGATCGTGTCCTTTACTGCTTGTCTCATCTCTCTCATCTTCCAATAGTACAAAAATGGATTCATAGTCGAGTTTGATAACACCAAAGATGCCGTCAAACACCACACGAAGGTAATCGACTGGGTGTTCAATCCAGTGATCGTAATGAAAGCTGTGACTAAACCGTACGGAAGATAACAAGCCAGTAGTGCCATTTGTATCCACAGGGCTGTGAAAACTGTCTTTTGGTATCGCGCTTTGTTCAGTTGAACTCGCTCCCCATTCTGTTGTCCCTGTTCATCTTTGTATTGCCCTTGTGCGTGAGAAAGACGAAGTGTACGATAAATTTTAGTGTAGCAGAAAGATGAGATCGCTACACACAGTAACAACAAAGCACAAACGAATCTGAAGGCAATAGATAAACTGTTAAACGCAACCACTGAGGCAGAAGTGCACGAAAACAAGAGAATGGCTATAAGGGTCCTTACTCTCCTCACAGTTACAACTTGCTTGTATCTCAGCCCCAATAACAAAGCGAGAAGTCTGTCGACACTTATTGCGGTCGTTGTTGACAAAGATACGCCAGCAAATATAAACCCCGTGAAATTATAAACGATGAAAAAGTAGTAACAACCCTTAGAGTTTTCTAATAACAAATAAAATCCACTGCGAAGAGGATGCACGATGAGGCCCACACCCAGATCTGTGCATGCAAGGCAACCCAGCAAAAGTTTCGACGGCGGGTGTAGGGAAGACACTTTGCAAAGAACGGAAATGATAAGAAAATTCCCCAAAAATGCGATGATGGACAGAGGAACGCCTAAAGCTGAAATGATTATTCTCTGAGTGCTGCTAAGACCTGAATTGCAGAAAAACTCTTGATGCTGTGTCGTATGGTTTCCATCTCCAGGTGAATTCGCCATTATCTCCTTCACGCGTGTTCTTTTGGTTGTTATACAATTGTTGTAAAACAGCTTCGGTTATTTCCAAGCCTTCAGCTCTTACCGCTTCATTTAGAGTAAAATCATTCAGACCAAATATTACTGTTCCCTGCAAATCAGAAGGGACTGTTTTAGTGTGGAAAATAGCTGAAAATAGGCTCAGTTGTGGCAATTTCGTTGTTGATAAGTTGTCTTACTTAAGGATGCCGAATTTTCGCTGGTCAAATTATCTTTGTTTACTCGGCTGGCTTCAATTAAAAAATTATAGCGGAGTGTCCGAATAATTGTTGTCTTTTTTTTTCTCAACCATCGTAAAATGTGATACATTTCTCTGCCTAATTTTTACAAGTAATTTTAAATTTTATATCTAAGGTTATCTCGCTCTCTGCATGGTAGTGATCAAGTTGTTAATTCTCCATAACTTTGGAGGCGGAGGCGAAGGTTCATGTTTTTTTTTTTAGTATTTTGATATAACTAGTCAGATTATCTGAAAAAATAAATACTCTATTTTTCAGTTCTAACATAGGTAGAGCATGAACTTCTGAGAAAAGGATATGGTTATATGAGCAAGAAGAACAAAACGATCTCCTGGTGTTTCATCACCGAAATGATTTTTAGGGGAATCTATCCGAAAAGCAAAAAGAGAAAACGTAAAAAGTCTCATGTTTGGAAAGATGTTTTCTTGGGTAATCTGGAATATCAAAAATTTTTTTGACGTGATGATGAAACATAAGTGATTTAGATACCTGAGATGCGGCTGTTTCGACTCCTATTCTGGGAGTCATGAAGCCTCGTTATTCTCATTATAATTCATTTATAAACAGGAAGACTGAAGCGTTGTTGCAGCTGTAAAACGCATGTCTGTTTAAAAAGTGACAAACTATCAAATTTGGATGGTTTAGATTGGTTCCTTCTAACGGGATGCCATTTAAAAATTTACTATTTAAACAAGCATTCATTTTTCTTCAATATTTAATATGGTATTTCTTTATAGCCACAACTGTCTACATCAACAAAGTGACTTTTTCCATATGCAGCCCACTGTGAGTCCTTTTGCCAGACTAAAATTTTTTTCGCATATCTGAAAGTGCCACATACGACACTCGCCTAAAAAACTTAAAGTAAGGGCAAGGTCGAAAAAAATAATACTTATTTAGTCAAAGGACGCCCGTTTAAGTGCGTCTGCATATTGAATTACAGCGTTCATAAGGCTAGCGTCACAAAAGTTGATGTGTATTTCCCGACGTTTTACTGACAGAACTGCTAATTAAAAAAATATAACATTTGTTCAACTGTGGAAAATTCTAAATTATTATGATGGTTAAAGCAGGGGTTTCGATAACTTTTTTTCTATAGGCGGCTGCAGCTGATAACGTAATTAGGCGACTGTGCCGTAAGGCCGCAGGGAACCAGATTTTATCTAAAATCCTCGGTTCAGAAGTTTTCTTTTAGTTCTTTTAATTTTAATTAAAGAATCATACAACATGAAATATGTCAATAAAGAAGTGGTATTGAGATTTGAAATGTGTGTATATTGACCTCCACGAGAAGAATTAAATCATCGACAGCTGTTTCTTCATGAAAATGTTCACTTGGTTGTTTTAACAGAAAACCATCGGAAAAAGACAAGAAGATTAAAGACCTGTAAAGTCTGATAAAAAGTTCTCCCTGGTAACTTAAGCATAGAAGCATTCGTTATCTCTTAATAAGAAAATAAAAATACAACGTACCTGATCCGAGAGTGTCTCGAGTTCTACGCCAGTCTTCTAGGAGCCACAGAGTTGACAAAATCAGTACAAGTATAAACAAGAAAATTTAGCAGTTTGCTCTTCTTCGATGGTTGTCGGAAATTTCCATGCAATTATTTAGTTCACAGCCATGTAGTCGCGTGGGATGAAAATGTTTTCGAACACTTTTTCATCGCAGGAAAGCTACCAATTGCTGTTGATTTTTATTCCTCACAATTCGTTTGGTTGTTAATTCTCGTTTCGAAGAAGAAATTCCACAATCGTTTAATGTCATCAAAATTTTGCTTCTGCCACCATTAATTATAGGAGGTTTCCTTAGTTTTCTTTACGGAAAAAGAAGCTACACCTATATTAAGTGCTCGAGAGATCATTACCCAATATCTTTGCTGGTTACTTTTCCCGGTATGGTGCAATTTAACATTAACTGGTTATTTAAAATGACCGGCCCCTGATGTCATTGTTAGTAAGTCAAAAACAAGAGATTATGAACTCTTGGTCAAATGTGATAATCTTTAGTGCTTTTTAACAGTTTATTTTGTTCGTTGAGACAGCTCAACAAGTATATCGAATCTTCTTAAAGGCAGCATGGTTTGCCGTGTCGAAACTTGTTAGATACCATTATAACCTTTGTTGAAGAGCATTCGTAAGCGTTTGACACGCTTAAACTCAGCAGTTCCTATTGTGTTTAATTGACCCAAAGGCACATATAAAAAAATGAGTATTTATTTCCATTTCTCATGTTAAGAGGGTCTCAATGGGGTGGTGGCTTTTACAGCTATCGGTTAAAATTTTGGCCAATTTCCGGCTAACGGTTAACACCTTTCCATTGTTTCCACCAGAGATATTTTTTACGGTTAACTTTTTTTACGACTAATGGTTAAAATTTGTCAATTTTTACGTCTAACGGCTAAATATTTTGGCCGTTTTACGGCTAACGGTTAACTCCATTGGCACCCTCTGTTAATGCGATCCCAGTCTTTCCAATTGAAGAGTAATTTTTTTTATGATTTTGGATCCCGTGTCTCTCGGTGCGGTTATTGAGATCGAAGGTTTTTCCTTAGAAATAAGAAAAAACCGAAAAAGCTCCCTCGTGAATTTTGTGACTTTTAATTTGGCTCACAACATTTCACTTATTTAGAATGTGTTTGAAGATATTGTAGTTTTTCAGGAATACTATTTTAAAATCTTTCTCGGGAAGGCATATTTTGTGCCCTTCAAATGAAATTAAATATTGCATTATTTGCTGTATATGTTATTTTGACCGAGTCAAGTTCGAAACAATTGTCAGCGGTTTGTGAATTTCAGAACATGTGTTCTCCCCTCTATGTTTAACTCTCTTGTTTGTGAAATTGGCGAAAATGCTGTTGGTTTGCAATATGGCCGGGATGCCTCTGCAAATTCAGCCAATATACCTGAGAAATTGTTTCCCTAAAGGGGGTAAACTCCTTCAAAAAGAATTGTGAAATTTTATCGCACTTACTAACCGGGTATATTTCATTTTGAAAAAATCGATGGAACATGTGTTTTCCATATTTCAATGATCAAGGAACGCTGAAATTGTTTTTCTTTCGGTAAATAAAGCTCGTGACTGACTTTCTCAACTTTCATGCAACCATGAACCTGCATACCAGTCGCTAACACCAAGTTTATCATATTCTGAAAGGAGAAGGCTCGGCTTCGAACGCAGGTTGCGACTTGTACTCTGAAATATAATCACTTTACTCCCATAGTACCTCTGTATTTTAAGAGAACTTTTTATATATTACATTATCAGGATAACTGACAGAAAATTATGTATCCGGACTGACTGACATCCCAGCAGACATTACGTTATTATGTCGGAAGAACTGATACTCATCGGTCGCTTAACGTGACATCGAAAAGTTAACTTGATCAGCAGCAAAATTGTCTGATCGTGTCCTTTACCGCTTGCCTCATTTCTGTCATCTTCCAGCAGTACAAGAATGGATTCAGAGTCGAGTTCGACAACATCAATGTTACCGCTAGAGACACAATTACTTTAAATGACTGCGCCGCCGGATCCACTGATCCAGTAATAGATGCGAAGCTTACGAGTGAACCAAACGGAAGAGAACAAGCCAATAAAGAAATCTGAACCCACAATACTGTGGACACTGTCTTTTTGTATCGCGCTTTATTGAGTGGAGTTCCTTCTCTATTCTGTTGTCCTTGGTGACTTTGACTCAGAACTTGTGCATGAGAGAAACGGAGTGTGCGGTAAATTTTAATGTAACAGAAAGTAGAGATTATTGTGCACGGTAAAAATGCTGCGCAGCCGATTCCCAAAGTAAGACGCAAACTGTATAATACTGTTATTGAGCCAAAAGTGCAAAAAATCCAAAAAGTGATGACAAGGACTCTCACTCGCCTCACAGTAACCAGCTGTTTGTATCTTAGCCCCATCGACAAGGCAAGAAGTCTGTCTACACTTATGGCGGTCATTGTTAACAAAGATACACCACCAAACACAAAACCTGTGATATTAAAAAGGATCCAAAAGTAGTGACAATCTTCTGAATGGTCTGGAGACAGAAAGAAACCGCTTCGAATAGGATGTGAAATGAGGCCCACGCCCAAATCTGTGCACGCAAGGCTGCCGAGCAGAAATTTTGACGGTGGATGAAGAGAAGAGACCTTCCGAAGTGCAAGGATGATCAAAACATTTCCCAAAATTGCAGTTATGGATAGAGGAAGTGCTAACGTCAAAGAAAACGTCTTAAAGGCTGCTCCAAGACCAGTTGTGCAGAAAAATTCTTGGTGTGTTGTTATATAATTTCTAGCATCTTCTGTCAAATTCGTCATTATTTTAGTCAGACGTTTTTAACCCAATTTCTAATGATACAAGTAAGTTTAATTCGCAGTAGTCACCTTCTTTCGCCTTGTTGAGATACTCGTATCCGAGGTTCGGTGTTGTTTACATGTCATTTAAAAGTAAGATAATAGTTTCATTCTCTTCGACCATTCTGTGAGTCTTTTCTTGCACCGCTTTAAAATGTGACCACAATTACTCTTCGTGCAACAGTTTGATCATGAAAAACCACACATTGATATCTTCGTTACAAACCACTTTGACGTCAGTTTCTTGCGTTTTCACTGAACTACAGGAGAACAAAGAGCACTCCTTAGCGCTTTGATATTTGGATCGTGAGCGTAACTTTGGCCAACACCTCACAATTTTTATGAATCAACGACCACCCAAAGTGTAGAACTGAGCTGGTAATCGTTAAAAGTGCTATTAGTGGTAGCTTATCCAGTGAATAGGCACGCTATGTGTTAGGTCTTTTACAAGACATTAATAGCTCCTCATCTTGTGTGTTAATTCTGCGGAGATTGGTGTCGGATCTGACAGATCTGTCACGAATTAAAAAAACCCACCCCTTTCTCCACGGTGTGGTCCAAATCTTGTGGCAAAATACTTATCAAAGTTGAAGATGCTTGCGAGCGTTCTTGATCTGAAGAAGACGAACTATAATTTTACGAATGAAAAATATCAAATGTAAGTAAGGAACCCACGCATTCGTGCACTTAACGAGGGATAATAGGAATTTTAAGAAAACTATGACGGCAACAGCAATGGAACGTCACCAAACAAAAGGTTTAATGAGCAGAAAGATGGCTGTGCACGAATGTTATGGATCTTTGTAAATTTCTTTGCGTCCTCTGCAAAACAACATCCTGAATTGATCAAGCTCTGCGTTGTCTGGAAAACGTGAACGAAAACGTTTAAATTTTTTAATTTCTATTCCTTATTAAACGCTGTGTTCCATTTTCAGTTACGAGATAGTTTTGACAGTGAGAAACAAACTAAATGACTTTAGATTATCGCGATATTCGAAAGTAAACTACAAGTTCCTTTCTTTAACCGACGTTGTCCACGGTGTCGTCGTTGTCGTTTTTAAAACTCCTTAATTATGTCGGTAATATGCGTTTCCTTAACATAATTGCCAAGTGGGAGTCGTTATATAAAGGATCACAGAACGTTCTCAACTGTGTACATATCAGTAAATCAAAAAGTATAGAAGTTAGATCTTAAAGATTTATTTATTATGTTGTTTGTGTAAAATTGGATTTAGATGAGAAGCATTTGAATATTCGGTGCTCCTGAGGCTTACTCATTACTGGTCTAATAGACCCAATTGTTAACGAGTGTAAGGCGTCTGCAGCTGACGGGTCAAAACTAAGATCAGTTAGCCTACAAGCCATCTCATAAATGGTTTCGTGGAACCAATTATATAAGTGTTTTAAAGCCTCTGAGAGGTTAAAAAATAAGATTAGAACTGAGTTCTAGGACTGTTAGTTAGCTCTATTTTTTTCTCATTAATGGTTTCAGAGAACCAATTAATATTAGGAAGTGTTAGACATCTACAAAATTGAGCTTCAAATCAATCTGCAATTATCGCCGCTGCTGAATAAAACTCCTACAGCCCGAAATTACAAATTTATATGCATTTCCATTTTTCAGGAAAAATTTTCACCTCAATGAAAATAGAGTATATTGAGAATTGTTTTAGTAGTTTGTATCTGAAAATTGAGAAGGCTGTATGTATATATGTATATATTTCTAGTTGGAGAGGTAGAAATAGGTGTTAAAAACTGTTTTCCAGCAGGTGTGCAACGCGAATATGAATGTTAAGATGTTATGCATATATTTTTTTCTTTACATCGGTCGAATTGCGGTCGAATTGAAAATTCCGATTTGTGAGAGAAATTTGTTACAAGTTAAAGTGCCATTTATAAAAAGTGAACCATTTGAACACAGCCAATTGCATAGTCCAATTTTGTTAGATTAAAAAAGTATCAGACAAGTTTTTAGATGCAATCCGTTGCGTTTCTCTTTCTGGTTTTGAAAATGATATACAAAATGAAGTAAAGAAAATAAACGTTATGCCCCATTGCCTGAAAAGTCCAATTTATTAGGAACTATAATTCTTTTTAAAGATGACCTCTTGCGTCAGTAAATTGTCACGGATTTTAGATGGGGAATGTTTTCTATGAAGGGCTAATAATTGGTCAGTTCTCACCTGTTGTTCTGCCAAATATCTCTTTTAAAGAAGGTTTACATTTTCCAAACAGTAATGAGAAGTTCCTCGTTTGAAATAGCCTTAGCTTTTAGAAATACGTTTGTTTCACAGATATATAGGCCAAAACAAATTAAGGATATCGACTCACCATATGACTCTTGTCCTTACTTCATAAGGAGTATCCAATAGAGCCTGGCAGGTATTTTTCGCATAAACTCGTGAGATGCTGCCTTGAAGTTTCTCGAATTAAGCTCTTGTTATAAAGAGTAAAATTGCGGTCTAGAACTTATTATAATTCGAATTGGTATTTGTTCGTTGACCTCATCAAGTGTACTTATCATAGAAGTCGTAACCCTATTGGTAGACACGTCTTGCATAAGTCGACAATTAATATCAAACAGTAACTGAAAGTGCGAATATGTTAATTTTTAAGTACTTTGAATTCGGGAATACTTTTTTAAGTATATACAATTGTGATATTTTATTTAAGTGTGTTCATGCTGATACACAATCCTACCATTTCCTAGAGGTAATTAATTCAGAGGCTCAATTATTATTTTCAGTCTTTACCTTTCGACATAAACTAGTCTTTTGCTGTTTCATTTTGGAAAATCTGTTTCTACCTGGAAAATCTAGAATTACTGATTTAGTGACACAGTCAAACGTCGCTTAGGGTTTTGCTGCGCGTTACCGAAACCATACCAATGCGTGGTTTCCTTCAAACTGAATTTTTGTAATCGTACTATTGTTAAACTTAAATATTTCTTTACAAGAGTGTACCTAATAATTTTTATATTGCTCACGTCGGTTTTTATTTTGACCAGGCAACTTACGAACAATAGTGAAAACTTCATATGAAAAAGACTTTTGACACTATGCAGTTAGTATGCTAATCACTTGTCACTTGGACAACCGCAGCATGGTTCTAATCTAGTGCGCGAGGCACTTATTCATTTTTGTCGTTTTATGAACGAATGTCAATCTCCTTGGTTACTTCAAAAGAGCGTAAGCAACAACCTAGTGTTTAGAGATCAGTTGAGCAGTTGAGTTGTAAGCAGTCAAGTTGTAATACTACTGGAACTATATCGAGCCATTCTGAAAGAAATTGAAGAGACAAGCGCATTTCTCTTTGTTGGGTGGTGGCTAGTTCCCAATAAAAACTACCTCAACACTTCTCCCTTTTGCTAATCACACGAGGTAAAGAAACCAGCACACGTTTTTAAAAAGCATTTGACAATAAGAACTTAAGTGGAAATTTGTTTATGCAAGAATAAGCTTTTTATAACGGGCCCCAAGGGAAACAGTAAGTTTTGTTTCCCCGAGGCGAAGCGGAATGGAACATTTAGGGTCGAGGGGCAACAAGACTTGCTGTTTCCCTTAGGGCCAGTCATTAAGTGTTTTGTTTCCTCAACCAACTCAAAAATAGGACAGACTGATGTCTTTCCTATTTTTGAGTTGGTAGGGTAGTGTGTAGGGTGTTCATTGTAAAATTTTACCCATGAACTGCAAAAAAGAAATCTAAAATTTTGCAGTGAAAAAACGAATATAAGAGATCTTCGCAGCTAAGAACTCTACTGAACTAGTAGCTGAAACAAGACCTGAAAAAAATTCAGGACCGTACGAGATTTGAACCCATGACCTCTGCGATACCGGTGCAGCGCTCTACCAACTGAGCCAACAAAAGTTTTGCCTCAAGCTTTACCCATGAAACTATCTTTGGTAGGAAGTAAATAAAACCGCATTGGTTTCTGGAAATACGTTAAAAAAAAATTTGAAAGTTGTCAATAATCAAAGCAGAAAGAAAAAAAAAATTCAAAAGTTGACAAGCTCGCCCCTCGTAACACACTGCGTGCAGCAAGAAATCGTTTGCATTCCTAAATTGTGTGATATCTAAGGGGGGTGGAAAGCATTTCAATTTTGAAATGTGTTTATTTAGAGGTTCGCCATAATTTATTTTAAATTATTATTATTTTTATCAATTTACGTCGCCATAGTGACTTCAAACCTTTGGTTATTTTGCTAGCATAACAGCAGAAATATGTAAAATTATGAAAAGCTCCATGAATCCTAGATTTTTTAAAAAGAAAATATTGTAAGAGAGAGCATTTAGAATACACTGACTGATACTCTAAACATTTCAAACGGCTAAAATTCAGCAAACGATTCTTTCTCGTGACGAAAGAGGTGAACAAAACGTATCGAATATCGTATTGATTAGCGTTCGGTCAACGTCTTAATGAGCAACTCTTTTTTAAAAAAAGCTACTCTTTTTAAATTAAACTATTCAAACCTGTATGAACATTTCAGGACCAGACTACAGGACAGCTGTATTTGGTCAACCCTCAGTCTTTTGGGGCAAAGTCCGTCGCCGGGATGTTGGCGCGCCGCCGGGAGCTCTTGGAGTGAGGCACTAACATTTATTTTTTCTTCACTGATTTTATTCGACCTGCGCTTCGGACTTGTGCTGTTATCACCGCGCCACGGACTTGCGCCACTGCTTGTGCTGTTATCGCCGCTTACGCTAAATAAGATCCTGTAGTTTAGTCCTGAAATGTTGATAGAGATTTGGCTTAAGCTCTTAAGCTCTTAAGCTCTACATAATTCTGCTGTCACCCCAGCAAAATCACCAAAAGTTTGAAGTCACTACGGCGAAGAAATTAATAAGTGTAAGATGTTTTTATATTTAACTGCTTTCGAACATCTTGATAGGCGGAATCAACCGCAGTTTTCAATGGTCTGGGCTGAACTTGAGAAATATCACCCAAGAAAGAAAGAGTACTT